GGCATGCCACTGGGCAAGGATGAGAAGGGTAAGATAAATGGAAAAACTGCACCTTAAGTGATAGCCAAACTTATAAATCAATCTCCTCCAGATGGCGATCAGGCAGCGGTGGGCACCCAAACCTCAAGGCCCACTTCGCCCGACATCAGCGATCCCACGCTGAGCAAGAGCGACTCACTGGTGAACGCGGAGAACACCTCGGCGTTGGTGGACAACCTGGAGGAGCTGACCATGGCCTCCAACAAGAGCGACGAGCCCAAGGAGCGCTACAAGAAGTCGCTCCGTCTCAGCTCGGCTGCCATTGTAAGCTCTGAAATCAAATCCTTTCCATAATTGGCCAAAGATTAAACGATTCTTTGTCCATCATAGAAAAAACTAAACCTCAAGGAGGGCATGAACGAGATCGAGTTCAGCGTGACCACCGCCTATCAGGGAACGACGCGATGCAAGTGCTACTTGTTCCGCTGGAAGCACAACGACAAGGTGGTGATCTCGGACATTGATGGCACCATCACCAGGTCGGATGTGCTGGGCCACATCTTGCCCATGGTGGGCAAGGACTGGGCGCAGCTGGGGGTGGCGCAGCTCTTCTCAAAGATCGAGCAGAATGGCTACAAGCTGCTCTATCTGTCGGCCCGTGCCATCGGCCAGAGCCGAGTGACACGCGAGTATCTCCGGTCGATCCGGCAGGGTAACGTGATGCTGCCGGAGGGTCCGCTGCTGCTCAATCCCACGTCCCTCATTTCGGCCTTCCATCGTGAGGTGATCGAGAAGAAGCCGGAGCAGTTCAAGATCGCCTGTCTATCGGACATACGCGATCTCTTCCCCGACAAGGAGCCCTTCTACGCCGGCTACGGCAATCGCATCAATGTAAGTCTGGCCAAAGCATCTCAATTTAAGATACAATAGCCCTGATTCAATCACTTATTGAAGTATAAAAGTTGAAATGCAGTCAGGGTTTGGCATATCTTAATACCAAACAGTCTGAGTTATATTATTCAATCCACCGTATTTGTAATCCCTTCCAGGACGTGTGGGCGTATCGAGCCGTTGGCATTCCCATCATGCGCATCTTCACCATCAACACAAAGGGCGAGCTGAAGCACGAGCTGACCCAAACATTCCAGTCCTCGTAAGTAGCGATCCGTTGATGCCCTAGCCTAGTGTTTAGCCCTAACTGCACATGTGTCTCTCCCATGTATACTATATGGTTCCGGTGTTGCTCATTACTGAACTCATGCCACATCCGATAACGTTAACTAATTCGCAAAACAAAACCAAATCAAACCAAACAACAAACGCTAATTGGCTCAAGTCGAATTAACTTCATCACGTAACGCTAGGTGTCTCTATGCTGTTTGAGTGTACTTCCTATCTGTGTAGTATCTATCCATTGTACTACCCACCCAAAAATCGCACCCCACTCAATCAATCAATCAAACGATCGAAAAGCCTGCCAAATCCAATTCAAGCATTTTGGTTGTCAAATTTACACAGTGGCTACATCAATCAGTCGCTAGAAGTCGACGAATACTTTCCGCTGCTAAACAACCAGGATGATTTCGATTACCGGACGGACATCTTCGACGACGAAGAGTCGGAGGATGAGCTGCAGTTCAGCGACGATTACGACGACGAGGTGATTCACATTCACAGTGAGGAGAGCAGCGATGAAGATGAGGACGATGACGATGACGAGGCCCTCTACAACGATGATTTTGCCAACGACGATGATGGCATCCAGGCGGACGTGGCCTCCGGCGACGATCAGTCCTCCAATATGGGTCTCATTATGCGAGTCCGCCGCGTCTCCACCAAAAACGAGGTCATCTTGGCCTCGCCCCCCAAGTGGTTGAATTCCTAAATTAGCCACAGTCCTATCCCAAGCCGATGGTTGTGCAGCCTACAAATTGTGATAAGTTTTCTAAGAAAGAGAGAGAGAGAGAGAGAGAGAGTTAGGAGTGTCCTATATATGTCTGTGCCTGATGTGCCAGGTCCGCGAGCTCCAAGTTCGCCGACCAGTTATGTTTGGAAAGTATTCTGCTCCCAGCAGGTCTTGATGTTTAGTTTTAAGGATGACAATTATATGAAGTACTCAACAAAATATACCTTTATTTTCGCTGTGATGGTAATCTTTTATTTTTGACTTTGATCGCTGAGTGTGGCATGAGTTCTGAGCTAAATCCGGTAGTTTCATATATCTGTAACTAGAGTATATCTAGATGATTACTTAAATACCGAACATTCTTAGATTAAGTAACGGTAAGTATTTGTTTTCCATAGTTCGTGTTTTGCGAGTTTTACTGTATAAAAAAAAAATGCAGTATATCCCAGGGCGTATATCCTGATTCGGGCATTCCAATATATAGCATAGCATAACCTCGGGCTGCTGTCGATCGACAAAGATCATAGCATAACCCTGGGCTATGGGCTCTAATATTATACATGATCTGATCAAGCCTGCCTTTTTGCTTCCAGATACTGCAGCATGACGTACATTGTGGATCAACTGTTCCCGCCGGTGAAACACGACGAAGCCTCTGCTGAGTTCTCCAACTTCAACTATTGGCGCGACCCCATCCCCGACTTTGAGATCCCCGAACTGGAGACGGCACTGGTGCCGCCGAGCAACAAGTTGGACTTGGCCACCCTGCGACCCATTCCCGAGAAGTGAACTGGTTCCTTACTATATTACCATATTTATACGGATATGCAAACACACACACTCTATATAGCAGATATCGCTTTTCCAATTTGTTTGCTTAGCCTCAAAACCCTCTAGATGTGCTTACCAAAAACGAAATATTTATAACTTTGCATAAACTTAGCCAGAATTCGCGATTGCCTTGGTTTCATTATCATTTCGAACTTTACCATTCGATCGTTTCTCGTCAAGTGAGTGGACTTAAGTTATAATCAAAATTGAGTTATTATAATAACTATATAGTTAGTTCCTTTGAGACTCCTGCAGGTTCTTAGAAGATGCATATTCCAAATGGCGTATGGGAGTTGTGATTTTCGATTTCATTATTTTTTCGTATGTGATCATTTAAATTTAGTTCATTGTGATGAGGTTTTTTTTGGAGTTTTTATGAAAACTGTGCTTTAGACCTATGTATACTTAACTGATAGTGTTTCAATACAAATAAATGCTTCAAATTCAAAGAAAGCCGAAATGGACTCGTCTCTGCTTGCGAATGGAAATCCACCTGTTGTCTGGCTGTTGATATACGATATGTATACGTACATATATACTTATGAGTGGATTTGGGCACTCAATTCCCATGGGGCCCACTCATGTTGCAATGGAAAATTCTCGAAAGTGGGTGCTAAATCGGCAGGCTGTGGGCAGCACTCTATGACATCCAATGTGCGTTGGCGGGGGGCGAATTTCATTTGTCAACGTAATTTTGCCAATTCAATTAATGCTCATTTAATGCAGAGCAGACCGACTCTCCATCCAACAGCATACACAAAAGCCCACAGATGTCCAAGTGGGCAGTTTAAGTGACCACAAATGGTCGGTCAAGCAAACGCAGTGGCAGATCCACTATTTCTGGGGGTCAAAACTTCCCAAAAATGGGGGGTTTGTAAGCAATGATTTTGTAGATGTTAACACTAAGTATTGTTCTTGCTTGTCGGGCTCAAAAGTTGTACTTAATTATAAGACAATAGAACTAAATATGAATTTTTCGCGCGGTCAATGATTCCAATTTTCTTACGCGTAATGAATGTTGGTTCTATAATTTTTTATTTTGGTACCAAAGAAATCTAAGCTTTGCACATTGAAAGTTATAAACATTTTAAAATGGTATCTATTCGATATGTTTTAATCAATGTTTAAAAGAAACGCTAAAAGTATGTTCCAAATTTGACGTCGATATGCTAAAATCAATTGCATAAACTTTTTCATTTTCAATATTATTTCTACATTTTTAAATAAAAACTTTATTGGTCATTTATGTATGCATATAACAGCTTTAATGGCTTTCAATACAAGTTAACAAATGTAATAAACATTCTCTGGTAGATTTCGATTTTCTACAAATTAATTGAAAGTGAAACAGTTCTCTGGAAAAAAAACGTGATCTACTTGGACCCCTTCGTCATTAGACCGCCACCCATGCAAATCGCATTTATGTTTGGTTTATAGACTTCGCTTGCGCTCCCTCCAGACAAACAATGGAAATTTTAAACTGATTTAACTGTTAATAATGCCACAACTCAAATCAAAATCAGCTGATCTATCCGAGACTAGAGCTTATAGTTTTGTTGTATGCCACAAAAGTTTTTATAAGTACAGTGGCTCTCCGGAAAATGACACTTTCTGATTATGTTTTCTCATAAAAAGAACCGAAACAAAAACTTAAAATGTGATTAAAATGGGTTCATATTTTGTTAAACCTGATGACTTGATTATTTATTGCTGTTTTAATAAAACTATGTTACTTAATTTCACCTTTTATTACTTTTACACAAATATATTATTATACGTATATCATAGATATCGCTATAGAGATTTTTAAATCTGCCAGCGCCGGCACTTTTAATTAATTAACTTAATTTAATTTCAAAACTCTCAAAGTCGTCATTATTTCAAACTTAAACCATTTTTTAATTCTGTCATGCAGGAACTTTTTTATTACCAGATTTCAATTATGAACCCCGAAATGTATTAAAAAATATTTCTTCTTTAATTAAAATTTGTATTTTAACAGTGTAATTAACAGTTAGAAACTTTTTACTTGGAAGCATGAAACAAATTAAATTGTTTTGCTGATGATAAAGGATTTACAAAGAACTATCTACTACTGAATAATTTTAATCAGCACGTCCTTAGGGCAAATTCGAGCTCATAAAAAATTCCATAATGAGATTTAAATTACAGCCAGCGAGTGCAACTCAATTGAGCGACACTCAAAATCGCCCCACAATTGAGTGCGACATATGTACACATACAGCACATTGAGCCGTGCTCGAAAGTATAAAAGCTGGAGCAGACCAGTCCACAGTCAACAGTTTCCTCCGGGTGATCACAGAGCAAGCACAAGCACCTCTTTAAAAACAAACCAAAAACCTCTTTCAGTATGAAGAACGCCGTTGCCATTCTGCTGTGCGCCCTGCTGGGTCTGGTGAGTACAAAGTAACTAAAGAGCTGATGGCAGTCAGTCAGTAATTCACATTATCCCTCCAGACCTCCGCCGCCGAGTACAAGCTCCGCACCGCCGAGGATCTGCAGAATGTGCGCAAGGAGTGCGGCGCCGCCAGCAAGGTGACCGAGGCCCTGATCGCCAAGTACAAGACCTTCGACTATCCCGAGGATGAGATCACCCGCAACTACATCCAGTGCATCTTCGTCAAATTCGACCTGTTCGATGAGACCAAGGGCTTCAAGGTGGACAACCTGGTGGCGCAGCTGGGCCAGGGCAAGGAGGATAAGGCCGCGCTGAAGGCCGACATCGAGAAGTGCGCCGACAAGAACGAGCAGAAGTCGCCCGCCAACACCTGGGCCTACCGCGGATTCAAGTGCTTCCTGGGCAAGAACCTGCCTTTGGTGCAGGCCGCCGTCCAGAAGAACTAGGATCCAGGGTCAATTTTAGAAGCGCTAGAACAAAAACCGCCATCGAACGAGACGGGTATTTCATCGAGTCGAAATCCGCTCAGGCTCGGCAATCCTACAATTGAAATAAAAACCATATAATAGTGCTTGAAGAAAGAGTGTTCTGTTTATTTCGCTGCCACACATGCATAAGTATTGATTCGCAGGACTGGATTGGTTGGAGCAGTTTGACATCGTGACATCATGATTCCCAAAAACCTTGTCCCGCCCAAAGGAAAGGCATTGAACGCTTGTTTAATTCGATTATATTTGTCATCTTCTTTTTCAGTTCAGTAAAATTCAACTTCTTTTCTTTACTCTATATATTTTTTTGAATATATAAATTACGCACTTTCTTTTTTATCTATTTTGTTGATTAACTTCTTTCCCAAGAGTCTTGTGTTCTTTTGATTTTTTTTTTATTATTTTCTTCCTTCTTTAACTTGTTTTTGCCATCTTTTAACTTCTTTAATTACGATTTGTGGTTTTCTTTTGCGTTTCTTTTATATATATTTATTGATATATATTTTTTTGTTTTTCTAAATCAACTTCTTGTTTTTCATAATCTTTTTTTGATTTATTATTTGAAAATTAAAATGTGTGAAAAGGGGGTGTTTGGTGTTGGGTGCTTCAAAAAACATTATAGCCAAGTCAAGATATTCGTATTTCCATGTTGATTTTTTATTATTTTCGAAGTCTCTTCTATTTCGCCTCTTTTCTTGCTGTTGATGCTTTTTTTTATTGAAACGATTTTTTTCTGGCGTTTTCTCTTGTGATTGTTATCTCTTTTTTGTTTTTATTTAGCAAAGAAGTTTGGCAATAAAATAATGTTTTTTGAAATAATATTGTAAAAAAATCTGAAATCAAATAGTTATTGGATTAAAGAAGAGTGTCGGTAAATTAAATGAAGGCAATATTATTCGTCCCAATACGATGCGGATGAAGGATAAGGCATTCACAAAAAGGATAATGGTCCTAACGTTTTCAATTTTAAATGCCCCCAGGTTACTAATTATCTAAACGTACAACTGATTGCTCCAATGATTGGTGGAATTCGCTATGTATACTTCAGAAGTGGAAATGACGTTTAAAAAGATTGCTTATTCAAAACCTATAATTTTTAAATTAAAAAATATCTTATTACACTTTAGATCCAGTCTATGGATTTTAAAATCGTGTACAAAATTTGTATTTTAATTATTCGTAAAGCATTACGCTCACTTGCATAGAACGGACAGAGCCTCATAAAGAAAATCTCAAAAATAAATATTCGGTCAAGGACGTTTCAGGTAGATAAGAAGCAGTCTCGTTCGTTTTAGTTTTTAGATGAGTTAAAAATTGTGGGCTTACCTTACTAGGGTTTTAATAAAACAATAATCAATATGGAGCGTAGTAATTGGCGCGACCGCGGTAACCCCTTCTGAAACGAAAGACAGACCGGGATTAGCTGGATCCAATCGCGATTAACCAGGGCGCACTTACATAGCGCGTCGGGCTCCACGGAAGGTAGAGTGACAGCACGCTCGGGAAACGCGGGCTCCTCGACCACGGAAGCTGCCTCGGGCAAATCGGTTTGTGGTGGACAGGCCAGGGCGGTTTGTGCGCTTCGACATCACCTGCAGAGCATGGAAAAAAAGGTTAGAATGTAAACTATAAAATAAGATACAGTATTTAAGGTATCCGCTAATCAATATCATGTAATAATCTATACTGGCTAGCTTAGAGCGTTAATGTTATCAAAAGCAAACATATAAGGTAACATTCTTAACAAATAGTCCAACTTAAATCAATAACTCGGTATATTTTTTTAGGGTAATCTTATTAGTTCTACCATTAAAAAAATGGTGGCATAATAGTTCCAGTCCTCCACAGTTCTAATTGATATGGAGCTCTGATCGGACTGACATGCTTATATTGATTCGTCAGTTAATAGTGAACCAGAACACACGGCAATATACGTTTTCTGTTTTGCCCCTAAATCAATTTTCTTTCGAATTTAAAGTTACCAAACCTTCTTAGAGGTTAAAAAACTGGGCAACTAACTATTTAAAAAAATGTAATTTAAACCGACATATTATGTAACTGAATGCAAGAACAAATTTGAAAGTTTATCCGGAAAGGGACCGAAAACTCTTCCTTTTTCTAATCACTACTCTTCTATAAGTATAAGTGTCTTTTATAAGGAATAAGTGTCTCTAGTATCCACCTTGATTTGACGCCCTCGGAAGAGGGTTTCGTTCATGGCCAGTGCCGTCTCGACGAACTCCTTCGATCCGAACTCGATGTACGCGAATCCCTTGGGATGGCCATCGGCCTTGTTGCAGAGTATGGTGACGCGGTTGATGGTGCCGCAGCCGTGGAAGTGGGCCTCCAGTTCCTCGGCCGATGCTCCGTAGTCCACATTGCCCACGTAGACGGACCGCGTGTCTATCTCCTGCTTCTCCTCAAGGGAAAGCGGAACGGTGGCCAAACCGGTGGTGGAGCCACCAGCCATTTGTTTGTCGACTTCCGACTGCATTTGCTTGATCTTCTCGGCCTCCTCTTCCATCTCCTTGACGCGCGCCTTAATGGCCTCCAGTTCGGGATCGATTTGCATGCTGCCCTCCTCCTTGTGACCCGGAAGAGATGGAATAGAAAAGGATTTGAATTGGATTTGGATCAATTAGCGAAACGCCCAAAAACACGGCAGACAATGCGAAGCGACGCTTTGAAAATGGCAGCCATTGCGGTGACTTTCGCCTTTGTATATCCCCCAAAAGCTTTGCGAGCTTTTCCAGGGAATCGGCGGGCTTTCGCAGGGCGGGCCAACAAACTGGTTTTTGACCATCATCATCATCGAGACGCCCCCTTATCTTAACTCCAAAACTCACCTCGGTCTCTGTGATGATCTCAGTCTCCTGCTCGCCGTTCGTCTCGTCCAACGACTCTAGGAGCTGATCCTCGTTCAGTGTGATATCCTCATCGGCCATTGTTTTAGTTTTTGTTTACGTTTACGTGGGCTGTAAAAGCTCGGGTTTTTGGTGGCGCAAAAGCTTACGGCGTGGTCCGAAAAACGGCAGTTGTCGTAGTAGCTAACTGTCAATGAGAAAGAGCGGCGAAAGTTAGCACGAAGAGAGCCAGAATAAAAAAGGAATGCAGTGGAAGTCTTGGCACTAAAAACAATCAATTTAGGTCGCGAAGAGCCTTGAACACATAGTTTAGATCCGCTTTTTTTTCTTCCACATGCCATTTTTAACCACTATTCTTACGTTGAAAATATGTACAAAGAGGGGTGCTCGCTCTGCTGACGTTGAGTTCGCCCAAAATGGCCGCTGTGCCGTGAAAACACACGAATTTTAAATTGCTGTTTTGCGGTGCAAGGCCACCTGTATCGGAGTGTATTTGGTTTTATTTGCACCCTAGACCACCTATGCACTTAATTGTAGTGTTTATTATCGACTAATATTTACAGGAATACGAGAACGCACGTAAATTTTGCCACCGAAAACAGATTTGTATTCGCCTCGTTTCTAGAGATGGCAGTGCGGTACAGTTTTCGCCCCGATATGTTTTTGGAGTGGCGTGTCATATCGATAACCTTTTGTATTTATTAGTGAGCTGTGTTATTTTGTTATACCTTTGTCACACTGGACTGTTTCTTAAAATAGCAATTGAGAAAATTTGTTGCAAAGTGATTAGATTACCGCTGTTGTTGTTAAAACCTCTAATTGGCCTTGCCCCATGCAATCAAATGTTTATTAAATAAAAAAAGGTCACAGGAATAAAAACCAATAGGCGCTTTGTTGTTTAGCAAACACGCCTGTTGCGAAACGAGTGTGAACAGTCTTTAACAGTTTGTTTACTACCAATGACCAAACATAGGTGTTTATCAAGAAGTCAAGAAGTCAAAAAAATATTCCTTAGTTTCAATATGGAATGTATCTTAAAATCTGAACATCAGTAAACGCCTATGAAGAGCTAGTAGAGGGAACATGAACGATTCTTCCGATTCGGAGTACGAGGACACAGAGTACCTGGTATTTGCCGATTTCAAGAACCACATTCAGCCGCACCAGTTGAAGCACGAGGACGCTGCCATCAAGGTCATAGGGATCGAGAGTGACACGCCCATGGCGGAGGTGAATGGCAATATCTACCGGGGGCGCTACGAACATTCCGTTGGAACCAACGTGTTCTTCGAGAAGGACAAGGACAATCTGGCCAGCGATCCGCTCTTCGAGTCCGTCTGTCGTCAGCGCTACCAGTACGTGGACAAGTCCACCAAAGTGATATCCTTCGAGCGAGTCTACGTCGACAATTTGCACCTGGAGGCCGAGAAATCGGTCAAAGCTGAGGAGGGAGAGCCGGGCGAGGCCAAGGCGGAGTCATTAAAGTTGAATATTACCTATAAAGAAGCCATTAACAAGTTCGGGGAGGAGCATTAAGTGAGTTTAGTAAAATACACAAGAGAATCCCCCATATTAAGTACGATTTGCTTTAGCACCATGGACAGCACCCAAAAGGCTTTAAATCTGCAAAATTTTCTTGCCGATTATCAGCGAAAATTAACTGGCTCTGAGAACGATATGCCGTTCTATATGCAAGCCAATCCCGTGCTCGTGGACGTGGGTGAGAGCTGTTCCCTGGACCTGATCGAATCCCCAGACGACATATCGATCGCAAACTTTCAGCCCGGCGCAGATGTATTTCGCCAAACTGCTGTTCGGCCGCAGGAGGATCAGCATGTGCCCGCCACCTTTACGGCCCTGACCAACTACAAGACCAAGTCGCGCAAATGTGCCTTTGGACGCACCCAATACACTCACAAATTGAATCCGCCGCCGGCGGACTGCCAGGATCTCCAGTTGGATGCCTGCGAACTGGAGCTAACGGTGCGTCTCTACCGGCCACCGCGTGCCTACCATCGGGGATTCAAGGTGGAGATCCCCGTATTCTCCGAGGAGTACGTCTGCCTGGGCAGCAACTATCTGACCGAGCTGCGCGACAAGATCAGCTGCGTGTGCCGCGGCAAACGCTTCGTGGACATCAGCAATGATCCGGATGCTCCGCTGCCCACAATCGACACAAATCCGGGGTACTTCTTCATCAACGACACCTTCTACAATGACAAACGCAATCCCAACAATCCCGACTATTCGCAGACCGTGTTAAAGTGGGCGGCTCGTGCAAACGGAGTGCAAGCAGAATCGCTTAAGGTGGAGAATATGGAGGGCAAACGCTTCATAGATCTAACGGTTAGTCCAGGATCACCGCTGCACTACCTGCATCACGGCAACTGCGAACACCTGTTTGTAATCTCGCAGATCGAGGTGCTAACGCCGCGCAGTAAACGCCCCGAACGCAGTCTATATCCCTATCCTCACGCCTTTAGCACCTTCAACCGAAGGACCTGCTACTTGTGCGGCATTCGCAGCTACAGCTTCATTGTCGATCAGTCCCGACGACAGCTGCACAATCCCTCCTACCTGTGCCGCAGTTGCCTCTTGAGTTTCCACTACGTGGATGGCCAAAAGGTTGGTCAGTTCAAGGCCTATCGCATATATGACCATGCGGAGGCGGAGGACGAGGAGGAGGAGCATAAAGGTGGCGAAAATTAAGTTAACATTTTGTCAAATATACCAAACAATTGCATATGGGAAATGATAAATCGTGTTTTACTACAAATACAGATTTTACCATCAATAATTACTTACTAGTTTACAATAAAACATAGAATATTATACGTGATGTTTGTTTTATTTGCGAAATCCATTGACTGCAAGATCGCACAATGAGTTGATTAATATTTTATTGTTGTAAAATATTCGTAGATAGATTTAAATAAAATACATACACATTGCAACAAGAGTAATTGGGCATTGAACAGATTCGTATGCCGTAAAGCTGCCTAAATTCCATGCAAATCTAGTTTAGCAAAAAGTTAGTGTCCAAGATAGGAATACAAAAATGCGAACAACGTAAACATTACAATACATCTGACTTAGGACTAACGTTAATACATATATATGCAATAGTTCGATTTTTACAAAAATTTAAGGATAGGCGCACTCGTGTGCAGAGTAAAGACTTGACCAAGACCCATGGAAAACAAACCAATAGACTAATTATGGCCAATAACAAAGTTATTTATCCTAGACAAGATACTAGTACTCTAGTACTAGTGGTACTTTAAGCAGTACAATACAGTAAAAACCTGCACACTGGTATTCCGGCGTGCACTTGTGTGGTGAGAGACTGTGCGCTTAGTTACTGGGGCGTTGAAATGCATCAAAAAACATATTGCCAATCCGACGACCCGACCAACAAATATCATAACGAGTAACTGCAGGCTGGGATTCGATTTGATTCAATTCGATTCGATTCGCCCGGACATCTTTGGTGTACGTGCTTGCGTTTACTTCCGTGTTAAAGCTTTGACCAGCGGATGCTCGGCGGCGGACGGGGCGGGAAGTCTGGTCTAGCTCTGGAAGACCAGTTCCCGTTCCACCGACAAGTACTCCAGCATCTGCGCGGGCACCGGCAGCTTGGCCAGCTGCTCGCGCGACATCTGGCGCTGCAGGACGCGACGGCACAGGTCCTGCAGCTTGGGCATGTTGGCATACCGGCTCAGCGGATACTTGAGGATCACCGGAAACGGTGGCTGCATCTCGTTGGGCACCTTCACAAAGCAGACAAAGTTGTCGTTGGTGCAGCGGTGCAAGATATCCTTGATCATCTCCACAATCGAACCGTACTTGAGCTCCTCGAAGTGCCAGAAGTCGTCGCGAAACTCCAGCCGATAGTGCAGCGTTACGTTCACAATCCGGAAGCTCAGTGTGAACTGGGATCCGCTCGTCTCCGAATCGCGGACCAGAAACGATCCGGTCGGCTTGTCGCTCAGCTGCCGCTGCGAATCGCGCCTGGAGATCTCGCCCCAGTACCACACTTGGCTGAAAGCAAACAAAGGGCATGAGTCACTGATCGTTGACCGTTCGAATGGGGAAAGACGGTGCGCTTACTTGAGCATCTCGGAGCAGGCCTTGTACATGACCTGGTTGGGCGAGTGGGCGTCCTCGCGCTCCAGCCACTTCTTCCGGATGAAGCGCAAGTAGTCGTGCGTGAATGGGAGCGTGGGCTCCGGGCAGATGGCCGGGGTGAGGAACTCGTAGGTGGCATCCGTGGTGCCGCCATCGTCGCAGTCGCCCATCGAGTGCCAGTTGCGCAGGGAGCTGAGCCCCTGGCCCACCTTCCTTCGCAATCTGGCGAACACGTTCCGCTTGTCCTTGTCCTGCTTGTCCCGCCGCCTGCGCAGTGTTCCCGTGCCTGTGCCAGTGCCAGTGCCTCCATTGCTGCAGCTGGCCATGGAAGAGGCCGTTGGCTCAAGGACGCACACGTCGTTGTTGTTGTTCTGGGATCCACTGGTGGAGGCGGATGCGGAAGCGGATGCGGACACGGCCAGCGCCGAGTCGGATTTCTTGCGCCTGGTCAGCGAGTGGAACCAGCCCTTCTTCTCCTTCTCCCTGTCCTTGGTGGAGTCGCCTCCGCCAGAGCGCTCGTGGCTCCGCTGGCTGCGACTCTGGTCGCCGTGGCTCATTTTGGAGTGGGATCGGTACCCTCGTGGCGGTATCACATCATTGATCTAATTCGGAGTCGTGATTAATTCCAAACTGTATTGTGATAAGAACTATTTGTTTTCGTTGGAAGTGAGTACACAAGAAGTGGCCTATCGTTATCGGATGTGCTATCGATAGCATATCGATGATTATTTCTTATTGGGTTAAATTTACTTATATTTTTATTTAAATAGTCTGTATTTTTATATTTGCTCATGGCTTCAATTAAACTGAAAATGTTTTTAAAAAAGGTAAATCCACATTTTTAAGACTCTATGGAATTTAATTAATTTATTGTTGTGATTTATTTGAGAACTATTTCATTATATTCATATATAGCCTTTTTTAAATATAAACTAGCTTCTCTTAAATTGTAGTACATATAGATCTTGAAAAATTAAAAAACATCGATGTAACGATAGCGAAATCGAATTTAATACCATCCCTAATCTAGAAGGCGGCTTTTAAATCTTCATATTTTTGGCAATTATAAAATAAGCCGAAAAAAGGATGCACCACTCAAGCATGAAGGTAGATCTCTCAAATTTTTTCAAGGACGAACGCCGGCAGACATTGGTTTTTATTGATGCAACATGGCAAAACATTAAGGACCTGCAAGATCACATTCAAAGTCTCTTCAATTTGGTACGTCTTTTGAGATCTTGTTTTCAATTTGTTTTAAACAAAACTGCATCCTGCAGAATGACATTAGCCTGCTCACCACAGATGGATGTTTTCTGGCCCCAAGGGAGTCCATCAAGGTGCTCAAATCAGCCCAAGGACTAAAGTATGTGAACCGTCATTGTTCTAAGAGGAAATATAAGACAATTTATTTATTTGCAGGGCCTTCCGGTTCGCCAGTCCTGTAAAGTTAAGTAAAAAGCGCAAGAATCGGTCCGACGAAGAAGAGGTTCACATATCCGCCTCGACTCCCATTCGCCCTACAAAACGCTCTAAAAACCTCGTTAGCCCCAAGAAAATTGCGCCAGAAACAGTCAATGTGGATGCAGTGGAGGAGGAAGAGGAGGAGGCACCTGGATCCTCTGTGGACTCAAGACGCTCTCAAATTCGAAGAGAAACAACCCATGTGGCTGTAGAAGATGATTCACCAAAGAAGGGATCTGCCCCTTCCAATAACAAAAGTCACCCGAAATCGCCCAAGATTCCATTGGAATCATTTGATTTGACAGCTGCGGAGAGGGACACCAAGGAAACTAAAAAATCAAAAAAAAAGACTCATGTAACAGCACACAGTCCTATCATTCTCGAGCGGTCCAATAACCATCTTGCTGTAGAGGATGAGGCAGTAAAGAAGGCGTCTTCTTCCTCCAAGAATAAAAACCACACAAAATCGTCCAGGATTCCAGTGGAATCTTTTGATTTGGTTGCTGCGGAGAAGGAAAAGAAGGCACCTGCTTCAACGATTTCGTCGCGTTGCAATGTCAAGGGAACCAAGAAATCTAAAAAGAATAACCATGCGAAAACGGCTGACATTCAGGAGGAAAAACAGGAGCAAGACGAAGCTCTTAAAAATCCATTCACATTCGAGCGTTCCAAAAACAAAAGTGTCCCGAAATCGGCTGAAATTTTTTCGGAAACATCTCATTTAGCAGCAGCAGAGCAGGAAGAGGAGGAAACTGCACTCTCGGTTTCCACTTTCAAGGAGCCAAAGTGTTCCAAAAACAAGAGCCACCTAAAATCGCCTAAGATTATTGATAATGCGGTGGAGTCGGAAGATAAGATACCGCCTCGTCCTTCGGTTTTATTTCGATGCCCGCTCATGGAGCTGGACTCCAACATCCCGCGCATATTCGAATTTCCAGTTATAAAAACTAAGGTTCAGATATTAGAAACTATAATACTCAATGGGTTTGATGGAAACTTTCTTCCCCAGAAAAAGACTAAAAAAGAGATTGCAAAGCCATTGTCAGTTGACAATGAAACTAACCAACTGCCAGTCAATGGCAAAGCGTCTACATCAAATATCATAAAAGAAGTTGAAAATAAAGACAAACCACAATCCACATCCCTTCACGTTACAGCTGAAACCACTCTGCTAAAAGATACAACTCTTCCTGAAGATATAACAAATGCCGAAGTCACGTTTCCTGGAGATACAACTGAAGCTGAAATCGAACTACCAGTCAATTCTACTGCAGCTGAAGTAACTCTTCCGGATGATACAACTAACACTGAGTTAACTCTTCCGGACGACTCTACGGTAGCTGAAGAAATTCATCCGGACGATACAACTAAAGATGAATCAACTCTTCCGGACGATTCTACTATAGCTGAGGTCGATATAACTGATGCTGAAGCCACTGTTCCTGAGGATTCGACTGCAGCTGAAGAATTTCATCCGGTTGATAAGAAGGATACAACTAAAACAGACTCAACTAACGCCGAATTAATGCCAGACGATTCCCTGATCGATGCTAAGGTTAAATCAGAGGACATACAAGTGGCACCGGCGCGCGCTTGCGCTGATAATTTCATCTCGGATTCCGATGATGACGTGATGCTGGTGGATGACACTAATATAGACTCAGACTCAGATGTGGAGGCCATACCAGGTGCGATGCTTTAAAGTCTTCAATTACATTTAAGTAGCCATCTTTTCGTAGACCCAAAGGAGGAGGAAACATCAGATATTATCAAGGACCTTATGCAGAGTGCAACACCACTGACGAACTTGCCAGCCAGAGCCGATACGATTCTGTTCAAGTTGCATAGGACCAAGGGAGTTGCGAGTTCCGGGACAACCGGTTATCTCGCCGGCAACTGCACCTACGTGAACCGCCGCACCAAAACGATCACTGTGGAGACCATAAGTAAGTCGCCGGATCTCTAGACACATTCCCAAATTTGACTTCAAATCCATTTTCAAGCCTGTCCCCCTGGAATCGGTCGCATAATGAGCCAATATGTGAACGCATTAGACGATTCTGCTGAAGAACTGCCTTCTTTGAGTATAAATCTGAAGCACATGATAGATGCCAAGATCGTGGTTGCCTCAGTCGATTGATTTTTGTGTACATTCTTGTGTTCTATTTCCAGGGTTTCGTAATAGTTTTAAAATATATAAACGATTAAACAACATTTAGATGTACGAATTAATTATTTGTAGCTGTCTTTCTCCTATTTGATGTGCTCCTTGATCTTCTTTAGCAAGTCGTCGGCCTCATCGCCGGTTTTTACACGCAGCAACAGCGATGTGGCCTTGGTGTCTTCCGGCGTCGGCACGCAGACCATCATGACGTTGTTCTTACCCATCCGCTGGCAGGGTATGCCCTCGCTCAGAATGAGGTTGACCAGGATGTTGCCCAGATTGGTGTCGGCGCGCACGAGCAGCTGGGTCTTCTCCGAGTCCTTGACCGGCTTCAAGTACAGCGTGCCCACGCCGCGGTCGCCAAAGTCCTTGTCTTTCTTAATAAACACCTTGCATCGTTTTGAGTAAACGGCGTCATCCTCCACGACCTGTTAAGAGATAACCCCTGTATTAGCAACCCATTAAGTAACGCGTTCCGTAATCAATTCACCTGTTTGAACTCGACCTTTGGCGGCTTGTCTTCCTCGTCCTCCGCTTCCTCGCTGGCAACAGTTGCTGCTGCTGGCGGTTGGATGTTTCCGAAGGAGAAGGGCGTGGCATTGGCGGTGAATGAAAAGCCCTTTATGCCATCTCCAGCTCCGTCGGGTGCCTTTCCAAAACCGGCAAACAACGAGGTACTGGGCTTGTCGTCGCTATTGCTCTTTAGTCCAAAGCTAAAGCCATTAGTTTTCGGTGGCGGCGCCAGAGGCTCATCCTTTTTAGCACCGAAACTGAAGATGCTGGGCTTGGGTGCATCATCGGCCTTGGCTTCGTCCGCAGGCTTTGGGGCCAAGCTAAAGATACTGGTGGCTGGAGGAACTGCAGATTTGGCGGCAGTCGACGGCGACGCACCGGAAGCTGCCGTACTGCCGAAGGAGAACAGCGGTGTTGTGGATGTGGTAGTTGACCCACCACTGGTCACGGTGCAGTTGGGCTTCTTGGCCGAGGGCGACGTGGTGCCGCCAATGGGGGTGCTGGGCTTGCCAAACGAAAACGTGGCAGCCGGCTTTGATGGCGACGATGCTGCAGTGGATACGACCGCAGCTGGGACCCCAAAAAGTGGCGGTGGCGGTGTGGACTTTGAGGTGTTTGCTCTGGCGCTCTCCACGTCCTGCAGCTCCTTCAGGTGCTTCTCGTAGTTCTTGAACACTGGCGTTAGTATGCAGTAGGGACTCTTCTCCATATGCTCCTGCAGGAACTTCATGACGGCCCGATTAAGTTCGGCCACGCTCTCTCGATACTCGGAAGATTCTGCGGCGGGACTGTCAGATTTCCCACTGCTGCTGCTGCTGCTGGTCACCGACAACTTGGGCTCGCTGCTCTCCTTCTTGGCCACTGATATGTTGCCGAAAATCGACGTGGACGGCTTGGCGCCGTCGGTGGTACTTGTTGATTCCTTCACCGTGGACGGTGCTGTGCTGCTGACGCTGCCGCTTCCGAAAATGTTGGTGGTGAGTGGCTTATCGGCCGCACTGGAGCTGGCCAAAGAGGAGAACAAGGGCTTGGCTGGCTCGCTGGTGGTGGAGGTTTTAGTACTACTGGCCGGCAGGTTGGCCAGGAAGGAGAATGGCGATGAGGCCGCGGCTGTTGCAGCCGGCTTGCCGAAACCTGAAAGCAATTAACGAGGATGGATGAGCAAACGCCAGGCAAATGGAAAGGATCAGAAACTCACCAGAGAATCCACTGAACACGCTCTTGGGTTCCGATGGCGCCTCACCGGCGGCATCCTCGCCAGCGGCGGCGGATCCGCCGGCAATCTTGCGGCGCGCCTTCTTGATAACGCGAGTCTTCAGCTCCTGCTCGCTGGCCGTGCGGAAAGTGCCGCGCTCCTCGGGCTCCTCCTCCTGGTCCCAGTTGTCGTGGTTCAGGTTCGAGGTCGCCTGTCGCTTGCCAGCCATCTTAAATGCAGTCTGTATTGAATTGCAAAGCAAATGCCAGGTGAAAATGTAGGAAAACCGAACGAAATCCACACCGCGTTGCTGCTAGCCGATAAGTGTTATCGAACTCGCGGCGAACGCAGTTGTGAGTCCTGCGCCATGGTCATCGACTATCGATGGCCGTGTCCATCTATCGATAGGGCTACAACAACAACACTCACTGTACGCAGCGAGACGCCAGCAGCACAAAAATCGCAATAAAACAAAAGTATTAAATCACGCCTAAAGTTAGGTCGACGACGACCATGTCCAGTGCCGCGAATCCCAGTCCGAGTGTGTTCTTCCTGTTTCCGCTGTCATGGGGCCCGCGATTTTAGGACCCACTGCTGCCCGGGCAATGCGCATTTTCCTCCGTCATCGTTAATTGTGTGCGGAGTACGATTCACTAGTACTACAACCGAAAACGCAGAAAAGCGAATAGCAAAAAACACAAATCGCGAGAGGATGAGAACGCCAGTGCTTGGATATATGGATATAGTGCCAGTGCCAGGGAAACTGCGACGAGCAACAACACAAATCGGGAGTGAACAAAGGCGTAGAGATAATACTACGTACAGTGTATAGGCGTTATCCTGGTTTCTCTGCTATTCGCCGTCCCGCTCCCACTTCCATTCGGCCTTGGGCGCGAGCTGGTGTGCGTGTGCCTCGCGTCTGTGTGCGTGCCGTGTGTGTTTGTGTGCCGTGTGTGTGTGTGTGCCGTGTGCTTGTGAGTGATACGTATCCTGAGCAAAATGCCGCCATCCCTGATTGCCGTGTCCGAATTTGTGGAGGAGACGCGCTCCGACTACAGCTCGCCAACCACCTCCACCTTCGCCTCCCGGATGCCCGACTGCCGCCACACTATTGGCGTACTGGAGGAGGTAAGTCCTGTCCAAAAGCTATCCCCTTGTATCCAAGGTACCCAAAACCAAAAGAAAATTTCAAGGTAGCCGATGATTAAATCTAGGCACTTTACAGGTGTGTTCCGGGATATACAATCAAGCACTAGTATTTTATTGTTTTAATGAGATTAAAAGTGCAAAACAGATGTGTGAAAAGTGTGATATACTAACCATTTAACTTAGTGTTTAGCAAACATTATCGTTCTTTTAAATTACTGGGATTAGGTTTGGTAAAAAAGGAAAGGTAGGGTAAGGATAGTAGTCAACTAACTAATGTTCAAACAATGTTTACAAAACCGCATATATTTAATATATGTACAATATATTGGGCTTAAGAGTATCTTATCATTGTTATTCCTTTTAGTTGTAGCAAACAGAAAATTAAGGAAATAATTACGTTTCCAAAACAAAGTATTCTTAATATTTAGAAAGATATTAATAATATTGATTGCACTTAGTCCTTCATGGCCTTATTTATTTATTAGTGTGTGTTGTACAAAGGCTGCTCATTTGAATACGAATCGATTAGTAATAATTTATAAGTTGGAATTCCTTGAAAGTGAAAACCGGAGGATGACTAGCTATATTGCAACATACTGCCGTGCAATACTGCAGTAAACGTGGTAGACGACGCCCACGCCCCCTGCAAAGCGGTGATGATTGTTATTATTTGCACAGGGGGAGCAGCAAAATGATTTGTAAATTGGCTCGGCGCCAAAATGAGCCACCGCCTGTTATTTAAATGCGGTCTCTCTCGCACCAGTTCTCGCTCTCACTCTTTCTCTTTCTCCCCGCAAGGTGGTTTTCCTCGATTCCATAAAAATAGTATTATGAAAATACAAAGTGCATTCCTGACTGTTTCAATGCAGATGGAGCTATGGGATCAGGGAGTGGTTGCCACATGAGCATGCTGCAATTTCTATATTTATTCACGGCAGCTGTGATGTCGCCTCTTACAAGTATATGTATATATATATGTATATATATATTATATTACGTACACCCCGTCCGCCCGCTGATAAAGCTAAGCACACAAAGAAAAGGCCGGAAAAGGCGTGTGATAAGAAAGGCGAGACCGAGGGCTATAGCTATTCCCGTACGGACACTAAGTCGGTTGGGGATGTATGTCGCCCACATGAAACACCGACTGTCTAAGTGGAAAATTCATCCATTTTGTCACTCGAAATGAGCCCCAGAGTGGACCGATTGTGCAATATACTCGTATATGCTCCAAATCCCCCCGGGCAAATGCAGCGCCCAGCGAAACAAAATTAGACGATTTATTGGTCACGACATTTCCACTTTTTTCCCGGAACTCTGGGCCGTCTTCTTGGACACCACGTCAAACATTTAATATTTAATTTCGCTGATGGACTTTTGGTGTAGCCCAAACAGCCCAAGCAATGACCTCCATTCCGCCCAGTTAAATGAATTTTATTTCATTTTTTTTTTTCAGCCAGTCTCTCCCATTGCGTGTTTATTATATTTGGAGCAGCTGTAAAACTGTCTAAAATGAAATTTAATTTGGTTCAGCGAAGAGTTTCTCTGTGTTGCCATTCATTTGGCCGCTTCCATAACAAAAGTGTTGCGGTTTTAGCCTTCTTCTGGGGCTTTGACTTATTATAAATTAGCATCTTTTGTTATCAAAGCAGCCAACTGGCCGGGCAACTCGTCAAGTGAATAAGAGAGAGAAACAAGTTGACTAATATTGTTAGCTGGTTTTTTGTTTTCGTTCTAGGCGTGTTGTTTGCATTCCCCGTAATTTGCTCAACTCTTTTGCTCTGCCCATGACTAATCTTCTCCAGCCGATTGCTAGGAGTTCGTTTGTCCCCAGATGTTTGCTGCTATCGCTTAGGATCGAATTGCAATCGCAAATAGTTCGGGTTTCCCTGGAGCCCGTTCTTCGCCGATTCGCTTGTACATTCTTCCAGCACATAAAATTTAATCTAATCTTCTGTTTTTATTGGCCAGTTGCTTGACTGGAGCTCATATTTCAGTTTCAGCTGGAATGTAAACGATCTCTGCCGATTTCTATGTGATTCGCAGGCAAAATCGTGTTCCTTGGCGGCTAATTTAATTTTCTATAGAACAATTTGAATTGAAAGCAATTGGGAGAGTCAATGGGTCAATGGGGGAAACGAACTCTTTCCTTCCACTTCAGAAATGGGATAAAATAATGCTTTATATGCTTCCGGTTTTTGTTTATCGAAAGCCTCAAGCTGCATAAAACATTAATGGTGTATCGGTGGGGTGAAATGCTTGAAATCTTTTTTACTTGGTGTCTTAATTGGTGCATGCGACTGCATTTCAAAATGGGGCTTGTTCGGTTATTAAGTTTAATAATAGAAGTGACCTTGTCGTACATTTTCAATTAGCCAGTGCCATAAAATGTGGTTGAGCATCGAAGGGGATGACCATTCAGCCAACAGGCCAACTGAATACCTAATGCCGATATTGACGCGCACTCAATCAGAGAATATTGTTCATTTGGAGTCCATCCAAGGCGTTTCCTCTATTTTGTCTTCCCATTTTTGGCTGAGCTCGGGAATGCATTGTGGCTGCTCCTTTACGGCACAGAAGGTGCCGCCTATTGATTAAAAAACTCATAAAGTTTATTAAATTGAAAAAAAAAATAGGATTAGCGCCAATCCTTTTTTAATTTTCTTTCTTTATTAATATTTATATCACCTTGTTATATGAGTTTGCAAGTAATAACTTTAATTTAATTTGAATCGTAAATAGCTTTCTCTTATTTATTTAATAATATTATCTTCAGGTTATTTAAAAAAATAATTTCAAGTTTTTGTCTAAGGTTTCTGTAACTTTTCCCTGTTTACGTTAAGAAAAACATGTCTATTTACTTGATATTTGTGATGTTGATTTTCGTTTGTTAATCAGAACTTAATGACTAATTATTATGTTCTCTTACAGCGATTGGAGTTTGATCGGGAGGGTCTAACCAAGCTGAAGAAGGCGGTCAAGGCCATCCACAACTCGGGAAACAGTGAGTGCAGCCTCTTGAGAGATATCACACGATATGCGTTATTTGTTTGCTAATAATCTGTGGTGACGCTTTTATCTCACAGCACATGTGGACAATGAAATGTTTATGGTGCGGGCACTGGAGCGTCTGGGTGGCAAGGTCATCGAACAGGATGAGCCGGACATTGGTGCCGCGTTCCTCAAGTTCAGTGTGGTTACCAAGGAGCTCAGTGCGTTGATGAAAACCCTGGTAAATATCTGTAGCTTATGCAGCGTTATCTGTGTACTAACTTGTTTACCCACCAAAACAGATGCAAAACATCAACAATATTGTGATGTTTCCGGTGGACTCGATGCTAAAGAGCGAACTGCGTGGCGTCAAGGGCGATATGAAGCGACCCTTCGACAAGGCAGCCAAGGATTACGAGGCCAAGTTCATCAAGATCGAGAAGGAGAAGAAGGCCCAGGCCAAGGAGGCGGGCATGGTGCGCACGGAGATCGACGCCGCCGTGGTGGCCGACGAAATGGAGAAGGAGCGACGTCTCTACCAGCTGCAGACCTGCGAGTATCTGCTCAAGTACAAGGACATCAAAACCAAAACGGGCATTGAGCTCTTGCAGCACCTCATTGAGTACTATCATGCGCTGAGCAAGTAAGTGAATATCAACCATAAGTCCACGACAAACTCTTAACTTAATTAACTTAATTGGTTACCATCCACACAGCTACTTCAAGGACGGTCTGCAGACGATCGAGCACTTTGGCACCTACATCGGCGATCTCAGCGAGAAGCTGCACGAGATTAAGCAGAAGCAGGACGAGGATCGTCGCAGTTTGCTGGACCTGCGAACAGTGCTGCGCAGCACACCGGACTTCGAGCGGGTGGACAATGTGCCGTCGTCGGAGAGCCGGAGCGGGGGAGCTGGCTACTCTCTGCACCAGTTGCAGGGCGACAAGCACCACGGCGTCACCCGGCAGGGCCACCTGCTCAAGAAGAGCGAGGGCAAGGTGCGCCGCGTGTGGCAGAAACGACGTTGCCGGGTCACCAGCGACGGCTTCCTCGACATCTTCCATGCGGACGAGTCCAAGCCGCCGACGCGGGTCAATCTGCTCACCTGCCAGATCAAGCCGGTGCCGGATGACAAGCGCGGTTTCGATCTGATAAGCTGTAAGTGGAGTGCTCAAACATCTGTAGTTCTAAATTTAAATTTAAACTGAATGACTCCACCACCTTTTCCATGTCGTAGACAATCGTCCGTATCACTTTCAGGCGGAGGATGAGGGCGACCAGAAGGCCTGGATGGCCGTGCTGGTGAACTGCAAGGAGAAGGCGCTGACCAAGGCCTTCCAGCATGCCAATCCGCAGATGAGTCCCAGTCTGGTGGAGCTGCAGAAGACTGTGATCCGCTACGTTCAGCTGCTGCCGGGCAACGATCGGTGCTGCGACTGTGGCTCGCGGAACGATGTCACCTGGATCAGCCTGAACTTTGGCATTCTGGTGTGCATCCAGTGCTCTGGCGTGCATCGCGACCTGGGCGTGCACCACTCGCGCATCCAGAGCCTCACGCTGGATAACCTGACCACGGCCAACCTGCTGATTGCTCGTGCCATGGGAAACAGCACGCTGAACGACATTATGGAGGCAAAACTCGGCAGGGGCAAACTGCAGCATGAGAGCAGCATGTAAGTCTCTAATACGGGTGGTGTTTGAGTTAAGTTTCCGCTTAACTCGTTGCATTCTGTGTTTCCAGGGAGGAGCGCTACGACTTCATTCGCGCCAAGTATGTGGCCAGGCGCTATGTGATGCGCACCTGCTCGGATGACAACGACTTGCGCTGCGATTTGGAGCAAGCGGTGGTCAATGCGGACATGAGTCAGCTGCTCCAGGTGTGGGCAGAGGGAGCGGATCTCACCTGCTGTCTGCCCAGCTCGGATGCCGGCGAGACGGCCCTCCATCTGGCTGTGTTGCGCGAGATGGGATCCACGCTGCATATAGTCGACTTTCTTATCCAAAATATGCCGCCCAAGGGTCTCAACAAGGCCACCAATCCGGCCGGCTTGCTGGACGTCACCGGAAAGAATACGGCGCTGCATCTGTGCGCCCTCCACGATCGCAGGGAGTGCATGAAGCTACTGCTCCGCTCGGGAGCGGATTACGAGCTCAAAAACTCACACAACAAGACAGCGCTGGATATTGCCAAAGAGATGGGACACAATAGCTGCAGGGAGCTGGTAATACTTTCTAAACTCAACTCACCCCCTGTTTCATAGTAATCTAATCCATATTTGTCAATTTACAGATTGAATGTGCCATTAAGCGGGAGAAGAGCGCCTTCGATCACATCAACACTGACTGGAATCTGCCCAACGAGGATGGTTCCACGGATTTCAGCGACGATGAGACGGTCATCGATGAGCGCGTAGGTTACGCTTACTAATCTAGTCGAAATCCATGCTGATTCCTGTTTGCTTTACTTGCAGAAATCTCGTTCGCGTCCCCCCAGTTTCGCTGGCGGGGACTCGCCCGTTCTGCGCTCACGTTCCTCCACATGCGACTCCATACAGTCCAGTTCTAGTCCAATCGCCAACTGCCCGAGCCGCCAGTTCACGCTGCCCTCGGGCCTGCCCAGCTACACACATTCGGCGGGCACATCGCCCAAGCAGCACATCAGCGTGGGCCAGTACCTGGGCAGTGCCACCAATGTGGGCGGCGGTGGGGCCGGCAACGGTGGCTCCAGTCCCAGTTCCGCCTCCAGCCAGAGCGTCCGAGCGGCGCGAAACAGCCTGAACATGCAGAGTGATCTGGGTGGTCATGTGACGGGCGCCCGGAAGTCCACGTCCACGGCGAACATGAACTCGCTGAAGAAGCGTACGGCGCCGGCCCCGCCGCCCGGAACACTAGGCAGCGCTTCGTCCAGCTCCTTCTACGGCACATTGCCCCATCCGCCACGGCACTCGCAAAACTTCGATGCCAACGATATTCGCGCCATCAACCACAAGAACCAGTCGCTCGACGTGGCGTACGGTACGCTGCCACACCTTCGCAGTGTGGAGAGCAGTCCTCGGGGTGGAGGAGGTGGAGGAGGAGGATACGGTTACGGCGTGTCTCAGGATCCGGGAGGATCGGGCAACGGGAGTAACAACAGTCTCATGCCCGCCATGACCACCTTTGGCCACAAGCGTTCGCCCAGCGGTGAGTCGTTAAACCGAAATATCCATTTGGCGGGCGCCAAGCTGGTCCTGCCGCCCACCGGCGAGTTGCCCACGCTGAAGCATGTGGACAAATCAGCGCTGACAAGGCCAAAGATTCCACCACCAGGTCCGCCATCAGGTAAGCTTCTGCATAGGGCAGAATCGTTTTGGCAATATCTGTAATTGTAACTTTTTTTACCACCAACAGAGCGTGAAATTTCAAACGGACAATCGAACGAGAGCATCAGTTCCATGGACGAGGGTCCAGTGGCGCCGCCCCGCAAGGTAAGTGCCCCCACAAATAGCGTAAAGTGGGTAGTTGAAAGGACGTGTAGCTGAAAAACCAACCCCATACCTTTCTCTGTATTTAATCTGATCCGCACTCGGCAAACGAATTGCAGCGCAAGCAACAAATCATCGCACTGAGATGCCAGGCCAGCGAGGAGACGGTAAATGGCTAGAACCACCGCTCATTTGCACTTTCATTCTTTGCCAAGCGAACTATCCAAACTAAATGTTGTCGTTGCTGTTGCAGCAGTTGTCGTTCTTCTTTCTACTAAGTGTCTCGTTTTGTGCATCCCCCAAAAGCTCTAACCCCAAGCGCCCATACTCACAGACTCTACATTGAATCGAAACGATCTTTCTCTGTGTTGCATTTTGTTTGCTCTCTACGTTCTTGTGCTGTTCAGCTTGGCTAATGCTTATCCTTTGAAATATTGCAGTTGATCAATCAGTCGGCCAACTTCCCCGACTACGAGTCCTGGCACACGGATATGGACAGCTCTGGCGGCGGTCTGGATCACTCCGCCGAGTCGAATGTGTCCTCGAGCGACAACGATCGACTCAACTCTTCGCCAGACAATCCATCGAAAAGCGGTGGAGCAGGTCCAGGCGGGAAGTTCCACTATGTAAGACTCATATGACCTAGATCTCATCAAAGTTATCCCTTAACAAACTAATAAATATTCTTTTAAACAGAATGGTCAACGGCGGTGCCGCGCTCTTTATGACTGCGTGGCCGACAACGATGACGAACTGGAGTTCAAGGAGGGCGAGATCCTGATCGTGCTGAATGAGCGCACCGACGACGAGAACTGGATGGAGGGCATCATTGAGGGACAGCCAGCCAGAAAGGGCATGTTTCCAGTCAGCTTCGTGCATATGTTGCCTGATTAATCAATCTTTTGATTGTGCTGAGTGTGTGGCTGCGCGTGATTGTATATAGATATATATATATATATATAGACATATATATATATAAAAATATTGATGTGTGTATGCGTCTTTTTAAATTCTAATGATATATAAGACAATTTTTTATTTATTACAAGCATTTTATCACAAAGCGTGCGACTATTTATTTGCCTAAGACTAAACTTGTAAACGTCTCAAGTGAGCCACCATTAGCGTAAAAGCCAACTACTCATTTACACTTGTATTTTAATCAGATCATTTTAGTAGAGATCCTTGCTGTGCATTGCCTGCCCAAAGTTAGCGCCTCAATGAATTGCTTTGATAACTGAATTTATATCCTGTAAATGCTGGAATTCGTACCGTAACTAAATATAACTTTATCTTAGCCCAACACGCTGTGCGCAAAAGTTACTCAATTGCAGATGAGTTGTCAGGAGCTGAAATTATGTATTGTATGCTTATACTATATGCTGCCATAAACAGATACTAATGATATCCACATGAGGCCCGACCTGGTCGGGATCTTGGCTTACACTCGTACTCAAGTATTCTAAATCTGTTGTTGATGGTTTGACGAAGAGTTTATAAAACAACGTTGAAAGAAATATCAATTTACCCAGACTAACCCAATTCAAAAGCCACCAATGCTATTATAAAGAAAATCGAGCATAGTTATGCAAAAAGGATAATATAATATAAACCCTTTGTACCTAGAAGTTGTTACCAATTAAGTACCCAATATATAAACGTATTTAAATATTATAAACTTTGTACAAGGTATCTACTATTGAGACTTGTTTGACACATATGATCATTTTGAAAATCTAAACTGTATATAATAATTTTTTTTAGGACACCACACACCTTTTTCTTTTCACACATTTTGTACACACGTTTCAGTATTTATTTAGCAAAACCTTAAAACATATTGATATTACATTTAAGTCAAATAAAAGGAAGAACATAACGCTTATTACAAATACACATATATAAGGTTGTGTTTTTACCAAAAATAATAAAAAGTCTTTTTAGTTATTCGGCTGGGTTTTATGAAAATATGAAATTACAATTTGCGTATAGAATGTAATAGATAAGCATGTAATGTTTACACCTAAATTATGTATCTTTTTGGAAGATTCGCCTGCAAGTGTAAGTTTTTACCGAAAATAATAGAAAATATTTTTAATTGCTTGGGTGAATTGATAATCTTCATTGATGTTTTAAATGAAATGAGTGTCAAGAAAGGTTCAACTATGGGATCTTTTGGAGAGATCGGTTCTTTTTGGGTTTTTAATTAAAACAAGTGTCAAGAAAGATTACAAATTGTTATGTTTCCTCTTCAACTATGGGTTCTTTTGGAGGAGTAGGTTCTTTTTTGGCTTTTTCAGTATTTGTCTTTAGGTTTGGGCATTTTTGAAGTAATCCGGCGTACTCCGTAAAAACTGTGAACGCGGCCCTTTGAAGCACAGTGTCCCCTAAATGATGGGAGGCCAGGATTTTGGCCAAGTTCTTGTAGTCCCGCTGCATGAGGCAATCCCGTGCCATTCGGAGTTTTTCAGAGGTAACCGACCGTTTTGTCCGATTGTATAGTTCATAGTGGGTTGAAGGAACACACGATGTGTTTTTATTGAGCCAAAAGCCATCCTCGGAGTTAGTTGCAATGTTAAGAGTGCGATTTAAGACATTCTTGGGTATTCTTCTGGCTGGAAAGTTGTAGACATCTATTTTCCGCTGTGCATTTTTCTCAGGTGGCTTTTCCGGGTTCTTCACTTTCATTTTACACGCGGGGGATTTCTAGAATTTCCACAAAAAGTTGGTAAGGGTCAAGTCAAGATTGATGTTAAATAAACTAGTTTTGCTTGGATGCAAACAGTTTTCACTTTAATTGTTAGATTTACAATATTTACCTTAAATTGATTTTCAAGAACAAAAACAATTGCTGCCTGTTTACAGCGATAGACAATGTAAACCTGATTAACAGCAATGGCGTTTAACAGTGCTCCCCGTTATGACATCGATAGTTTGCAGGCAATCGATGTTCTGATTCGCCCGATATCCACATCCCTACTACAAAGCAATATTTTCCGCATGCAACCAAAAACCAAATAATATAATGCTTGCTGTGGAATCGTAATTGCGAATTTTATACGATTTGGCTAACCCATCAGTGGCCGAAAGACTACCAATTGGCAGCCCAGAAGCCGACTGTCGGACAAGCCCACTCGGCAGCCGGAAATTGCAAGAGCAGTGTCTTCGCCTTGAGGTCGCCAGTTGCCAATTTGTTGTCGGGCCCTGTGCAAAAGTCGCAAAAATCTTCAGTGGTAATTGCTGGTAGTCCTCTAACCGGTAAGTCATCAACCGATTATAACCCTCGTAAGCGAAAGCAGAGCCTGCAAACAGTAACATATCTTTTCGGGCAGTACAAGGCCAGGCCGGTACGACGAAAGCAGGACCGGATCAGGAGCAGGAGTGGAGTCGAGCCTGCGGGCAGCTGGGTCCCAAAACTATGAGTGCTGCCAAGAAGTACAAGCCCATGGACACAACTGAGCTGCACGAGAATACCGAGAATATCGCCGCGTGCCTGAAGAAGGCCGAATCCGTTGCTGCAGCCGGTGCAGCCGCCTCGAGTCTGGGCCGCAGTGCCTTTGCTGCCCAAAACATGAACTCCGCGTCCACTAACGGCGAACGCCTGCCAAACTTCTCCAAGCTAAGCGGCAGCCATGGCGAGATTCGCACGGCTTCAACTACCTCAAACCTCCTCAATCGCGTGGGGGCCATACACAACAGCAAGCCCGGCGATGTCAAGAAGATAGTGATTAAGAACTTCAAGGGTATGTTCTGCCTACAGATAGTTATTTTCCCCCACCTTTGTCATCTGGTTCCCTCCAGCTAAGCCCACACTGCCCGATAACTACTCCGAGGACACGTACGTGAAGCTCGAGGAGGCCGTTATCGCCATCCAACTGTCAAAGCCCATTAAATATTCGCTGGAAGAGCTCTACCAGGCGGTGGTGAACATGTGCAGCCACAAAATGGATGCACAGTTGTACTCAAAACTCAAGGAGCTGACGGAGCAGCATGTGAAGCGTAATATAAAGCTCAAGGAGCTCACCGGCGGCAGCATGGACAAACTGGTAAGAAACTGCCCACAGAAAGTATGGATAGAAGCTCATTTAACAAACCCTTTCGCCTTGCAGATCCTGCTGGAGAAGATTAACCACTGGTGGCTCTCGTTCTGCCAGCAGATGATCATGATTCGCAGCATATTCCTGTACATGGACCGGACCTATGTGCTGCAGAACTCGTCCATTCATTCGATTTGGGACATGGGGCTGGACCTTTTTCGCATCCATTTTGCTCAGAACAGCGTTGTCCAGAAGCGAACCGTCGACGGTTTACTAACGCTGATCGAAAAGGAACGCCAGGGTTCCACTGTGGATCGCGGTCTGCTGAAGAGTTTGGTCCGCATGCTGTGCGATCTGCAAATCTACACCAGCTCCTTTGAGGAGAAGTTCCTCGATGCAACTAACCAACTATACAAGGCTGAGAGTCAACGCAAGATGCAGGAACTGGAGGTGCCCGAGTACTTACAGCACGTCAACAAGCGCTTGGCCGAGGAGAACGAGCGCTTGCGACACTATCTGGACTCCAGCACAAAGTAAGCGATTCTAGGTCCACCACCAAGAACATAATATAAATTTGTATTTTCCCCAGACATCCGCTGATATATAATGTGGAAAAAGAACTGCTCGCGGAGCATCTAACATCAATATTGCAGAAGGGCTTGGATTCGTTGTTGGAAGACAACAGACTGAACGACCTCACACTCTTATACGGGCTGCTTAGCCGAGTCAAAAATGGAACTTCCGAACTGTGCGGCAACTTCAACGGTTTCATTAAGGTATGCTTTCCCAATTGAAACGTATAAACACAATCTAATTATTAACTTATATGTGTATTCTTTTTTGATTTACAGAAAAAGGGACGCACCATTGTCATCGATCCTGAGAAGGATAAGAGTATGGTCCAAGATTTGCTCGATTTCAAGGATAAAATGGATGTGATCGTTCGCAGCTGCTTCGAGCACAATGAGAAATTTACCAACTCGTTGCGCGAGGCCTTCGAGTTCTTTATTAATCAGCGTGCCAACAAGCCGGCCGAGCTCATTGGTAAGCCACCACGCTAAATTACTATGTTTTAAACAGCATAATGACACCTAACTCATCCATTAGCCAAATACGTAGACATGAAACTGCGATCTGGCAACAAGGGAACCACCGATGAAGAACTGGAGAAGACTTTGGACAAAATCATGGTTCTGTTTCGATTTATCCATGGCAAGGATGTCTTTGAGGCGTTTTACAAAAAGGTTTGTGTGCCCCTAATAATATTTCGCATCTAAGCAATCACCAAACATTTTTTTTAGGACTTGGCCAAACGGTTGCTGGTGGGGAAATCGGCCTCAGTGGACTCTGAAAAGAGTATGCTGTCCAAGCTGAAGCAGGAGTGCGGAGGAGGATTTACGTCCAAGCTGGAAGGCATGTTCAAGGACATGGAGTTGAGCCGGGATATCAACATTGCGTTCCGCGGCCACGCGTTGAGCAACAACCGCGATGTTCACAACTTGGACTTGTGCGTCAGCATTCTGACCATGGGCTACTGGCCAACGTATGCGCCCACGGAAGTCACAATGCCGCCACAGTTCATCAATCCGCAGCAGATTTTCAATAAGTTTTATCTGGAGAAGCACAGTGGGCGCAAGTTGCAGTGGCAGCCAACGCTGGGGAATTGCATGCTACGTGCCCAGTTTGATGCGGTATGTAAAATGTTGTTTTTAATCTTATAATATATATTATTTAACGTTTGCTTAATTTCTGTAGGGTCCAAAAGAACTGTTGGTCTCGCTGTTTCAAGCGCTCGTGCTGCTGCTGTTCAACGATAAGCCCATTTTGAGTTACGAGGAGATTTTGGCCGCCACCCTCATTGAGGATGGTGAGTTGCGGCGAACGCTTCAGTCCCTTGCTTGTGGTCGCGCCCGCGTCATAACGAAAACACCGAAGGGTCGCGAAATTTTGGATGGCGATCAGTTCGACTTTAACAATGAGTTCACAAACAAATTGTTCAGAATCAAGATCAACCAAATACAGATGAAGGAGACGGTGCGTATACTTGACTATATATTGCATTAATAGAGATTAACCTAGCCTTTTTTTCGCCCAGAATGAGGAGCAAAAGGCGACGGAGGAGCGTGTTTTCCAGGATCGACAGTATCAAATAGACGCGGCTATTGTGCGTATCATGAAAATGAGGAAAACGCTTAGCCACAATCTACTCATCACAGAGCTGTTCAACCAGCTCACCTTCCCCGTCAAGGTAAGCCAATGACCATTAGTCATTCCTATTATTAGCGGCATGAGCCTAATGAGTTTGCTTTGCTTTGCATTCCAGCCCGCTGACTTAAAGAAACGCATCGAGTCGCTTATCGATCGTGACTACATGGAGCGGGATAAGGATAATCAAAACCAATACAACTATGTGGCATAAGTGGCCCCAGCTTCTGTGAACTCCGAACACCGATTCGATTGTAATTCGTTCTATATACCATACGCATACATACTAACAGTCCAATGAAGTTTTTGGAGTGTTTCTGGACCGTTCAGCGATGCTCAGTTTTGTCATCTGACATTTGGTTTATTCTATAACTGGATCGTTGAACTATCCCCCAGCTAATGGTAGTATAGTTGCTACAGTTCTTTTTGTAAGTTACCTTATCAACCAATAAATTAAGCGTTTAATTTACGAGCCTACAAGCCGTGCCCCGTGGAAGAGGTCATCGCCGTCGTCGGAAATGTAGAAAACGCCAGCAATATAGAAATGTCCTCAAACCGATAAAAGAACCAAGCGTTCAATAAACTCATTTATTGGACTTATCGTATTTTGTTTACTTTAATTGATAGTTTTCCTTCAATTAACAATAGAAGTGACACTTGCAGGCTAATTTTCTAAAGGAAATATTTAAATAATTATAACTCGTACTCGTAACTCTGTATGCAAAACGGATACGCATAAACTTAATAGTTTTTTATTTACCACAAATAAAAAAAAATTACGTGAAAATAATAATAATGCACTGTGTTTCATTTGCTTAATATTATCAGCGTTACTGCCTCGAAAAAACTAGCATCGAGCCCTTTGTTAAGCACTCAGCAAAGACATATAGTATATACAGAGTTGTTACAGATAAAATTGGGGGAAATTAGGTTACGTGGATTATATACAGATCAGAAATAAATACTTCTATCGCGTTTGCGTTCGCGTGCAGGGGTCATATCGAGAACGACATTGAGGCTGGTCTAGGTATCACAAATTCTCTTGCTGTTATCCTCCTGTGATTGTTTCGTATGCAAATCAAAGCCGTCAACTTGCAAAGTTATCAGTGGCTTCTTAAGATATTTTACAAAAATAAATGAAATGTCTTGCGACATTAGTTAATACCATTTACGCCTCCACGCTGTTCACGCTGTACTGTGAGCTGTCGTACTCGGACACGCTGTCCGAGCCATAGCCCCCGAATCCGGCCACCGCGGGTCGCACGCTGCCGGTCCTAACCACATTATCTTTGAGCACATCGGGCACGTAGATGGGCGCCGGACCGGCAATCTCCACAATGCTTGGTCGTCGTGTTGCCGCACAGCGTTTAATCGGTGACATAAAGGTGAACAGAACCAGAGTGATGGCCAGACTGATGATAAGCAGCAGGAAGCGAGCCATGCCGTCGTCGCCGCGGAAGTAGCATATCATGGCCATGACCAGGACCAGGATCACGACCGAGAACTTGGTCATCGTGACGGCCGTCGAGTGGATCTTGCCACCCTTGCGTGAGATCATGTTCGATGGTCCGTAGGCAAAGTACAGGTTGTGCCGGTCCACAAAGTGCTTCAGGCAGATGTAGATCATGGCGAAGGGCATGATCAGGGGGCAGGCCACGCTGTACACAATGGCGATGGAAAACACGAGCGTAGTCCAGGCGTAGTGTGTGCCAAAGGGAAACTCGATTAGAATCGCCTTCCGGATGTACGGTGTCTCGGCCTTGGACTTGGCCGTCAGCAATGACCAGATGTAGACAATGAGCTCCGGGAAGCGCAACAGCTCCAACGCAGTACCAATGAACGCAGCCGTAATGATGTAGTTCACGTAGAAGGAGCCACGGTCCGGCAGGAAGATGCATTGCCAGCGATCAGTCTCATTCGTGAATCCCCACTCCAGCAGTGCTTGTGCCGAGGTCAATCCCAGCGACGGCAGAACAAGGATCATCATTAGCAAATAGCCAAAACACTTCGTCATGATCGAATAGTTCTGCTTGGAGCGTGTGTAGTGACGCATCCACTTGTCCGAAATGGCCACAATGACAGGCATCAGTGCCGACAGGGTCCAGAGCATCAGAGTGGGCAGGAAGTCAGCCACAAGCGGTGAGATCTTGCCCTCCGTTTCCTTTATCCAGGGCCGGCTGTTCAGAAGACTCACCACCATGGCGGGCGTGGACAGAAAGAAGAGCACCACAAAGAGCACCGCGTTCACGCAGAAGAACTTCAAGTACCAGTGGCTCTTGTTCACGTTTAGGTTCTCCCAAAAGAGGTCGTCCGGCGATGGGGCGAAAACCAAATGCCATTGGCGGTAGGTGCCGGGTGTGAAGTGGGTGACAATATTCTGCGCCTCCTGCACAGTGGACACGGTGATAAAGGCAATGTCCAGGGGTTCGTTCATCGTGGAGGCACGCAGCCGGGCCACATCTCCGGATAGCTTTCGCTCCTCCCGCTGATAGTACTCGTAGGCGTTCTCCTTCTTGCAGGAACACAAGTCTGGCTTGGCCTGTAAATTAGCGGATTATATGATTCTTAATTGCGTTGAATTTGCGGAAAAACGAACTTACCATCAGTGTATCCCGGTTCCGGTGATGTTCGCAATACAAACGGGCATCGTGAACTCGCTCGAACTCCGCGTTTCTTACATAGAGCCGTGAAATGTTGTAGGCGATTGAGACATTCTCGATGGTGACGTCCGGGAAGAGTTCCTGCATGTAGTTCCGCACCACAGTTTTGTTACGATCGCTGGACGAGATGTTCGATATCATAATGGTGCGGGTGGCGGCTTTCTTGAAGGCATTCCGTCCCGAGGCTCGCCGCATGATGAGCACCACCAGCGGTATGTAGAGAATTGTGACGATCGTGTGCACCCAAAGCCAGGGTGAGTCCGGCGATAGGTTGGCCATTGTGGTGCGACCAAAGGCATTTACATCGTAGGGGTTTTCCTTGGGCCCGTTCAAAAAGTTCACGGGCAGAATGATGACCAGCGAGACGATGGTGACCAGAGCCATGACGGCCATCAGGTGCTGCTGAAAGGACAGGTAGTGCACGGCATCCGGTCCAGTGTGCAGCAGAATTGTCTCCTTGCGCAGCTTCAGCGTGACCTTGATCCACCCAAATATACCCTCCTCCGGTTGAATGGGCGACAAGGGTGTGGAGTCGGCCATGCCCTGCGAGGCGGAACTTGGCCTGGGCGACACCTGCGCAGAGGTGCTCGGCTGGGGATCCACCACACTGGCGGCCCGCGAATAGAAGATCTCCGTCCAACGCTTTTTACTCCCATTGCTGTTGACCAGGGCCAGGCGTCCAAAGTCACCGGCCTGGTATCGCAGAGTCGTAAACAAGAGGATGAGCAGGACCCAAAAGATGGTGTTCAGGATCAGGGTCTCCGGTATGCCATTGTAGGCGGTGGTGAAGAACGAGGTGCGATTGGCCACCGCTTGGCAGTAGGAAATGTTACTGATTTCCGACATGGCCCGCAGGTGACTCACTGAAAACACAAAGAAATCAGTAACCATTCATTACTTGTCTGTTTTTAAAGATATACTGAACCCCACTAAAGCCATGATAAGAGCACAGCTGATCGGGGTTTCTCCGAATCAATGAGTTGTTTGTGCTCACATGGAATGAGCAATAGAATGATAGAAAAACTCTATATTGCTGCAACTAATAAGAAATAACTACCCAGTGCCAGATGATCGTGATCTTCCCATGCCGCCCAGACACTTTAATCTTTTTGGGTCACTCGGTCAAACTAAACAAAGACCGCAGATGCTAAACTGCAAAATGCATTGAAATGTGAGGACAGATTACTCCATTTCAATCTAAGCACTTTGCATACAACAGATATGAAGTTGTATCGTTGTCAGCAAAGCTATAAAAACACCAACAAAGAGTTTAAAGTGGGTTTTAGAAATGAGATAATGGACGATTTAAACATGTTTTTGTGTGGAAAGGTAAGGGGGTGGTTGTTTGTGGGGGGGAGGAAGCACTACGTCATGTTGGTCCACCACCCTCCTCTCTTTTTTGCGTTTTGTTTTTGAAATGAATCATCAAAAACTTATTTTCGCAGTGGCCTGTCGCGTGGCAATTGTACGAAATGCAATATAGTTATACTTATATTAATTTAATGATTTGCCAGAGATTTACTGGCCTGGCCAAGTGTTAATAATTGCTATCCACTTTCATTTCACTGCGATTACACTCATACCTTGGCTGAAATTCATGATTTCTGGTCAATTCTCTTGTTCAACTCCACATTAAACAGCAGCTTTGTATCTTTTCAATTGCACATTAATAAAACCAGGTTTGTGTCGTAAAAACTTTATGAAATAATTGCCTTTCGCTTCTTCATTGCACTTTGCTAGCTGTTATCGATACGCCACTGCTACTTATCGATAGTTCGAAGGCAATAGAGGTAGTCGTTTACAGACGACATTATACGTTATTGTTTTTTAGAAGCTTTGAAATAAACTTGTTTTTACAGTTTAAAATTTCAGTAGGTGGTAAACTAAAAAAATGTACATTCCTTATATTTTTTATCTTTAGACGTGTAATATAAAGTGTTGGGAAATGTACTAGTTTGTTGGATCTAGGTAAGATACAAGATATTTGTGAAAATAAGTACTTATCTAGGTAAGGTAAAAGGTATAATAAAGGTAAAAAACATTTTTAATACCATTCTTTTTTAATTTAATTGTTTTGTTCTTCACAAAGTAACAGAGGAATTGGGATTTGTGTATATGTTGTAGCATAAACATGTAAAAAGGAACATCTTTTATCTTGCATGAACGGTGGTATTAACATTTTTTTATTTTTCAGTCAAATACTTTTTTTATTTACATATTGGGGAAAAGAATACGAAATTCAATTTAGTGGAATCAACTAATTTTGAACACAAAATTGAATAAAAATATTATTACCTAAATACACAGTAAAGCTAATTTTTAAGATAAATAAAATTCTTTATCAAGGTAAGGTAAAAGGTAGCCTCATAATTATTTACCTAGGTAAGGTATAAGGTTTCAAAAAAGTGTACCTTGGTACATACCTAGGTACATGTATCTAGGTACACTCCAACACTGGTAATATATCATATTTCTTTACCAACAAAATATTTATGAGTTGATCGATAGCTTCCATCTCTAACGCGATCCTTAAGATCAGTTGCTATGCAACCCTGTGTTTTGAAAACAGTAGCGTCGCGTATGAATTTACTTGGTTCTCCTTGTGTTTTAATAGTAAAAAATGTTTGCATTTATTTGTTTTTGACAATGTTAACATTTCGTTTTCCATCACTTCGTTTTGTATGTCAAGAAAAAACAACACTGTAGTTCATGTTACTTATTTGTGCATTTCGTAGATGAGGACGATTTTGTTCAAACACTTGCATTTGTGTTACCCATCCAAATCTTAAACATGCAACCCCAATCCGCACCCCCAAAGGAATTGAACTTCAAGATCCAGCTGCTTTCCGGCAAGAATGTTGCCTTGGTGGATTGTCCGGGCTACGAGAGCGAACTGTTCATGCCTCAAATCGTTGGTGGACGGATCACCTTCCAAAACATCCTCCCAGATCGAAGGTGTTGTGCCGAGAGCAAAATGCTATCGGATCACTTGCAGGGGGACTGGGCCACGAGGACTAGGACGGTGAAGAGCCCCCTGCGGCGCTCCTTTCCCGAAGTTATCTCTTCAACGCCGCTGGCCAAAAGCACTCCGTCGAGTACGTCCTCGCTAAGATCTCGGCCTGACAAGGAGAACGTCCTTCCCTCCGACCTGACGCCACAAGGACAACGAGCCTTTCAGCGGACTTCCCTGTCTGAGATAGCAATGGATGTGGATCTCTGCCAGGAGCAGATCAACACGAGCCTGTGCCTACCTTCTCCCGTACCTCAGCCACCAGCTAAAATCGCCTCCGTGTCCCAAAATTTTGCCAGCTACAACCAGGTCACTGTTTCACCACAGGTAACGGTACCGGTACCGGCAATCCACAAATACACTCCCAAGTTGGCGCCCATACGGACATACACTCGCAAAAAGGCGGGCACTGTCAGCAAAGCAAAGCCGGCACCACCCACTTGGTCACCTCTCCAAAAGAAGAAGACGAACTCGGCGGTATCCTCCACCAAGGTACCCAATCCCACCATGAAGCTGGAGGTGCGCAAGCGCAGACTGATCTTGGACCCCAAGACGACCCTGCCCGCCTATGATCCCACCAAGGTGGAACCCGTGAACATCACAAAGAAGAAGATCATCCGGAAACAGGTGACGGGCAAGACACGCAAGCAATTCGAAGCCCTGAAGGTCACAGCGTTTGACCTGCTAACCAATCCGTCTGTGGGGCACATGACCCAGCATCTTAACAAACAATTCCAGGAGTCCTGTGTGAACAAGGTGACCACCACGGTGCCCAACTACGCAGAGATCGCAGTCGCCTCACCACTAATAATGGATCGACAGGTGAAGGCGCTGGTGGCCGCTCAAAAGAGGATGGAGCGGATGAGTCAGAGACCCAAATGCCGTACGTCGCGCAAGAGCAAGGTGATCTAGGGTGGACACCTAGAATCATCTGGATGTATGTCCTTGCCATTCAGATTACACATAGATGACTTAAAAGGGTGTTCTTTGATCTCAACTTATATTGCACATGCATTGTATGTCCTTGCCATTCAGATTAAACATAGAAGACTTACAAAGGCGTTCTTTAATCTCCGTTTTTATATTTATAAGTATTATACATTTACCAAAAAAGGAACACATTCTGCTTAGTTATATATGTACAGTTCTACCTTAAGCTAGTCTAGATGAGCCTACATTAACAGTGAATAATAATATGACTTTGTACGACGAAACATCTTTGTGGTTAGAGGGCCAGAGCCACGTAGCCTCTTAAGAGCTGCGGCACCGAAAGCAGGCCTTGAATCCCCGCTTAATAGCCCGTATATTATGGACGACCTGCTCCTGGAAGAGAGAGTTTGCATTAGAAAAAAAGTAGTGATCATATAATGCCCCATTTACCTGCATCAGATTGAAGCACATGGCAATCACGGCCATGCCAAGCAGCAGATAAATGGCGCAGAGAATAAAGCTGACCTCCACTTTATCTTTATCGGCGGTTATCTGAGAAGGAAAAAACGTGTAAACTTGAATTTTAATATACCGAACTGCTAAATATAAAACATAAACTATTTTATTAAAGATTAGTACAATAAAAATTGTATGTTTCAAAATATCTTTTGTAATTTTTGTATTATTCTATGGAATAATTCATAAATGTTCTTTTTTAAAATTGTACTTGGTTCTAACGCCAGGATGTTAGACAAATTTTTAAAAACCCATCCTATAACTATAATTCGGAAAACAATCCTAAGCAAAAAATATAGCAATCTTCGACCGGCCGAAGTTTAGTAAAAGTAGTTGTATATGCTTAAAAATAAAGAAGCCTTGCCGATTTTCCGCTGAATTTTTCACAATACCAGTTACAGTTTTGATCTTTCGATTTCGAGTATATACAATTATGTATAATAATAACAGAGTTATAATTTTTTGAATTATTTTTCGATTGTTCCCATTTTATTTCATTTGGGCTTATAATCGATTTGCAACAAAAAGAAGAATTTTGGGATTTGCATACGGATATCTTTTAAACTGAGAGACGAGGACTAGTTTAAGTAGAAACTGATCAAGATTAAATGGCATATAAGGTCGGAAATGTATGTAATATCTCTGAAAGGGTTTGAAGAAACATTCAAAAACTGTTTTATAAAACGTCTCACCACACGATCACCCGGCACTAGATCCCCGAAACCAATGCTGCTGAGCGATATGAGACAGAAGTAGCTGCCATCAAGATAGTTCCAGTCCTCCCAGCGCCCGAAGAGCAGGGCACCCCAGAGAATGTATCTGAAAACGAAGGGAACCGGAACCCTTAGCAGATGTGGGTGCTTTTAGAGGTAAGGTTCAGCCTACCCGACCATGACGAATATGCAGACGGTGACTGGAACTGTTATCTCGTCCGTGCTGCCTCGTATTTCCCGCTCAATATCCGAGTCGGAGTCACTGTACGGAATATCCACCAGGCTGGAACTCTGCCGGGAGCTCCTGGTATAGTCGCTACTGCTGCTGTTGGAGGTGGTGGTGCTGCTGGTGCTGGTGTAACTGCTGCTTCCCCGGGCGTTCTCCATGTCGTGCATTTGCAGCTGCAATGAGAGACGAAGGAACTGATTGGATGTCATCCATACGTTTTGAGGTACTTTCAACACACCGCTCTGGCCAACTGTCGCATTTTTCGCCTCTCACGGATGATTCGTCGCTTGGCCACACCGGGACATATGCGACAGAGGCACACCTTGGAGTATATCCACTTGAAGGACTTGGCCAGCACATCGCCGATGTTGGACAAGTAGAGCAGGAACAGCGGCATGCCAATAATCGCATACAGAATGGTCACCAGCTTGCCCCACTCGGATTGGGGCGTAATGTTCCCATATCCGATCGTCGTGATCACAGTCAGCGAGTAGAGAAAGGCGCCGGAGAAGCTCCACTGCTCCACGTCGGGTCCCCTGAGCTGTTTCTTTACTATGGCCCGCTGGTATTCCAGCAGCACATCGTTAACCCTGCAAGGATAACGTTTATTTTAAGACCCTATTTTTTTAGAGTAGCATATGTGGGCTATAAATCAACATATAATGTTAAAAAAAAACCGGAAATATTCACTACACAAACTCATGAGCTAATGACTCCCATATTACTAGCCACGGAACCTCAAATTCCCAGGAGAGTTAAAGATTCCACGAGTTCAAAGATTCCAAAGTACAGGAGTTTTAAATATTCCAAAATATAAAACAGTAAAGTAACAAATAGTAAAGTCAAAATTGTTCTGGAGAAATGAAGATTCCATGATTGTCTATTGAAATAGGTTTCTAAATTCAGAATACCCTTTTTTAAAACCCTAAAATACATGAAACAATTGTTAACTACTATATCTATAAAATAAATATTCAAAATTATTAAACAGTAAAGTTACAAATATGTAAATGTAAAAATTGTTCTATGTTAATATTATATATATTTTTTTCTGCGTGTACTTTATGAGCCCATCTGACTTACCGCCTCCTGTAGGCATGGTGGTCAAAGAAGCTTATGTTCTCAGCCGTAATCTCCCAGATACGCGTCAGGCACTCCCCGCTAAAGTTCCTGGCGATGAACCGATGGGGTTTCTCCGTCTTGAGCCTTTCGTACTCGAATATCTCGATGCCCTGGAATATGAACGCTCCGCCGATTATGTAGAATGTGACCAGCAGAATGATGCCCACGTTGCTGAACATGAAGGCCGTGAAGTGGCGGCAATGGTCCTTGAAGCGCTCGAAGGCCGGCTTCTCTCGCCGGCGGAAGGAGCTCCGTCTCGAGGACATGTTTGTTGGCGGCTCGCTTCCGTTTCGGCTTTAGTTCCGGTTCCGGTTTCGATTGGCCCTCAACTGGCGTTCCTGCCCTGGACATGCTCGGGTCTGTACCGACACTCGCATCGATGACGACTGGAAGGATTTCCGGTTACCCAGCGCTAAAAAAATGTATCCACAATTAGTCTACCAAATCCCAAGTGCAAAGTGGTAAATAAACAAAGCAGCCGCTACATTGCTACACTATCAAAGTGTTTGGCGGCATAAATCTCCCCGGGGAAAATGCTGATGTGTGTGGGTGGTTTGTTTTCACGGTTTGGGATTATCGCGAAATATACGATCTTCTCTGATATATACACTGTTGCCTTGTCTTCAATACAATGTATTGACTAAGCTTTAAATGATGTTGTATAAAAAGATTATCAATACAATGGTACTCCCTTAAAAAATTCTTTCTCGATTTAATGACAACTTGAAAATTAAATTAAAAATATAACAAATACAACAGATATAATGTTTAATATAATTAAATAAAAATGAATAAATTGTTTGATTAAATTTCTTTAAAATATTGTATTGACTACTTCAACTATTTTCCCTGAAAGTATCAAATCTTCAATACTAATAATTCTATTCCTTTTTGAAAATTTACCAGTTTTAGAGATCCCTCTAAAATATAGAATTTTGGAATCTTCAGAATTTCTGTACGATTTGTGGGTTTTTAAATAAAAGCACTCACACTAAATTGGCATATTGACAAATTAATATGTAAAAGAATTTCAAATCAATAAATTTTACTACAAAAAATTGCCATTGAAAACCACAAATTTTGGACTTTTGGAATCCAATAACATAATTAATTATATTTGAGCCGATTACTTCCTCCTTGGACCGTTGAAAATTTCGAAACTGCATGTAACTCATTCGCAGTGACAGTTTGCGGGCATTTTCGAGAGATGTCAAATATTTTGCCTAGCAGCATGAATGGATTCTTATTTTTAATACAGTGGTTTTTGTATGTTCTCTAATAAATGGCCAACATGAACATGAGTTATTGGACTACAATCTTGGCAGCTGGCCTACGGAACAGTCACATCATCCCGCCTCATCGCCACTCATCCGCACGGATCGTTTGTGTGTGGTATTTCAATTTCATTTTTCTCGCGTGGCCGGCGGATGACACTCGTCTAGATTCGAGAATTGATGGCGTAGCTGTGGCGTCAAATTGGAAAGTTCCTAACGACGATCCCATACGAACCAACTATGCGTCGTCTGCGGTTGCCAAATGCTGCTTGTTTTTGTTTGGTTTTCAATCTTTTTTTAGGGTTTTATTTAGTGGGTGTGAAATACGAGTTCATTTGGAGGATTATTTTTATAAACTTCTGTTTCTGTTTCTGCTTCTGTTCTGGACGGGGCCGACCGTCACTTGGTTGATTTGTGGATCTGGTTAGCCTTGGGCTATCTGCCCACCTCACGCATTCGCCTAGCATATCGGATCGGTGGGAAGCTGGCAGGTGCGCCATACGAATTGGAATATTTTTATTGATTCGCTCAATCCTGCACGCACCACTCCGCCAGCGGGCTTAAATTAAAATCAATTTGCAATTGATGTCTGCCTTATTTACAGGCCACAACATACATACATAATTAAAAAATTCAAACACAAAACAAACACACAAGCCGCCAGCCAGCCTGGGCCAATGTGTTTCCAATGAAAATACACAAACCACGGGAGAAAAACACATTAGTGGATGGATTGCCTTTTTTTTCGCAGGGCAAATCTGGAGGGGCTGACATAAAAAATATGACCACTGTCAATTGGTATGTTTATGTTTTTAATGCAATTAAGGGAAGTGACGAGTACGAGTAAGGGGAAATGTATATTCTGGCCAAGATCGAGTGAATTTTGTGGCCGGCAATTAAAATGCACTTCGCTCGAGTTTGACGGAATATTTTTGGCCAGCGGCAATAAAGCCGTTTTCCGTTTGGCCCGCACCACTCATTAGCTCGAAATGTCTGTTTCCCATAGCATCAAAAATTAAATTATAATTGCTCTAAATATTTCCAAGTCATTCTAATCCGAATTCCAAGATTACTGAAAAGATCAAAGCAGAAGGCGCAGGAAGTGGTCAACTAATGTATTGTATTCAGATCTAAGAATGGCAAAAACCAAAAAAAAATAATTTAATCTAGCCGTCATAAGGTTAAGCATTCTCCTTGCTTCTTGAAAGTGGCTTTTTTCCGATCTTCCACTTGGCCAATTGAGTTGCCTTTTAGTAAGTAACTAAATTGCGTCATGTCTCAGATTTTGTTTATGCGAGCGATGACGACAGCGTTTGGCAACACACTTTTCGCTTATGTTTACTAAGGTATTACCTCATATAGGTGCACAGAATTTAGTTTTTCCTTAGCCAATCTTCAGTGACAGTTGTCAATCATAGCTTATCCCAATACTATAGCATATATGCTAAGTATTATATTGTGCAGGTCCTTCGGCCAGTACATTTGCACAATTAATTCTCAACATTTAATTTGCCATGCCAAGAGTAAAATTGAAAGCAAGAAATGCTTAAATATGACAGACAGCCCCAGAATGTTAAGTGTCAGCGGCTACACGAGAGGAGATTTTAAAATTTAATTACAGTGAAAATTCGGTGACAATGGCGGGGCGAAAAGCCGGCTGGCTGGCATGGAAAATAAGAAATTACGGCGACGACATCATCACCGCACATTGATGGCCAGGCCAGCAGTCCAATTGACATGACAGATCGGCACAAAACCGAGAACGTGTGTGAGTCGAAAACTAATTTTCGTGCATTGACCGCAAAATGAAAGAATTGGTTGCGTATCGCGTTGCTTTTTCTGCTCCTGCACGCCGGGAAAATTAAAAAAAAAAGAAGGGTATGTAGAAAAAATAAAATTTCTTATCCAAAAAACAAAATAGAGAAAATTCAGTCACCAGAAATTCAGTTTATCTGTACTCAAAGTCATCATACTCATAGCCTTTAAATGTATTCCAGCAAAGAATTTGTTCTTAAGTTCCAAAATCATATTTATTCCAAAATCATAAATATTCCAATTTAAGCTTTAAGTAAATAAACGAAATAAATTTCAATTCACAATTTTTCTTTCTGTGGTTATACTGGAACTACAAATACTTATTTATTTGGAAATTTACGCTAATAAATGTAAGATGCAATATTGTTTGAGGTAAATAAGTTGTCGATTTAATCTTGTTTAGAAAATTTATATGGTTTAGTAGAAAATGGTTTCAATGGTTTTTTTGTTTAAAAATTTATTTTGTATATTCGTAGAAAAATAATTTGTTTTTTGATTTTCTTTTTAAGAAAATTTTTTTAAGTTGATAACTTGTATATTTTTTGGTTTTGTAAACAGACATATTGTTAATAAAAAATATTACATTTCCTATTCGTTGTTTATTTTTGAAATTTTGTGTCAATATATGAACATTTTTTTTTTGGAAAATAACTATAATAAACTTTTGTTTTATTGTTTTATAAGTTTTTATTTCAAAGCAACAGTAGAAAAATTAATTGTTGGTACTTTTAAGGTATTACGAACTTGTTTAGTATGTCAGTTTGTTGTGCTGCAGTTGATGATGCTGTTGATACTATTGATGCTCCTTGCCAGATGCTCACCCGTGACGTCATGAGCGGAGACGGTACGAGCGGCGGATCGGCTGGCGATTTTGTTGGTGCTTCGGCCGATCCGTTTATTTTAGCAGCTGATGTATTTCCGAACTATGCATATGGAATATTATTTATGTTTGCGCGCTCTGTATATTGTTTTATCAGTATTATTCAACGCATGCCACGAAATTCCTCCGTCAAGCTATTTTACAGGTTTTCCACGAGAGTTTTCCCATTTCCACACGGTTGATTTTCACTGAATAACTTCTTGGCTTGTTTCGCATGCCATGTTTATTTTTAACCGCACCACACTTCACTTCATTTGGCCATCTCCCGACACTACGAATGCGATTCCGGAGCAAGTGCCTCATTCGCCGGCCGTGCGCCCTGCTCGACGTTCCGTTGCCCACTAAAATCCGTACTCGCACCCGTATTTATCCGTATTTATAGACGCCTAAGTTGACGCTCTACCTGTGACGTCGCTGCTCCTCCATTGTTGGATTCGGAATGGGAATCGGCGATCTTTCGCCACGAAAAAAAAGAGAGGGAGAGAGGAATTACTCTCTCAATTGGAGCAGATCGCATCGATCTTTGCATGCCCTCTACGGATATCAAAAAGATAATTTTTGAAATATTTCTTCAAATTTTAAATTTAAAATTAATTTATTTAAAATATACCAGTACATAAATGTTGAATATATTCTGAGAATTTAAAACAAACCAAAGGGCTAGTTGTAACAAATAGTCTCAAAATCTCAAAAATTGTCAAGATATTTACAAATGATTCAACGTTTCCAGACTAAAGGCTTCAGCTTAATTTTAAGTTATTGATTGCTATTTCCATGTTCTGGCTTTAAAATAATAGCCAAAAGGTAACATTTCTGTTTAATTATGAAAATTCTACAATTCAAATTAGTAGTTTTTGATCAACAGAAAGCATCACTATTTCAAATAAGTTAAATGGTAATTTGATAAAGGGGTGCTGAAGATTTCTGCTGCATATCTGCATAGTTAAATTAAAAACCTCTATACGAAAACAGTTATTTCAAATTATTATCTCAATTACTCCTGGATTCCAAGCCAACAAGGCGAGTTCTGGTGAGATCAATTTATGTTTATGAAAAGTGACCGAAATATATACATATAAACGATACGAACTCAACATAAACTCTAGACCAACGACGAGTAAGATCAAGAATATGGCACAGGCAGGAGAAGATCATCATGGACCGTCTGTTGATTCTCCTCAACTGCACGGGTTCCAAGAGGTCGATTAGTTCTCAAGCCACCTTAAGAGTGAAACCGGATTGAGTGAAAAAGGCCCCCGGAGTAGAACCAAATCTGACCGCAATAGACAAGGGACCAATTTAATTTCCACACATTTAAAACAATAAACAAAGAAAAGAAATTAGTTATTAACCTTATTTATTTATACAAAAGACCAGCTTGTGTTATTCTTTATGCATGACTCACTTCCGCTTGGAGCGAAGACCTTGGCTCATCAGGGGCTTGACATCCTTGGGTTCGCGACCACGAGTCTCCGGCAGGAAACGCCAGGTGAGGAGCAGGCAGTAGAGGCACACGCACATGCACGGGATGAAGGCGAACGAGCTCCAGACAGTCTGGAGCAGGGGGAAGCACATGCCCACGAGGAAGTTGCCAATCCACGAGAAGAGACTGCCCATCGACATGGCCACGGGGCGAGGCGAATCCTCCAGTAGTTCTGGGACAAAAATATGTATCAATAAAATGTATATCTGTCTCTGTGAAAACAAACCTGAGCCAATGAAGTACGCAATGGGACCCAGTCCCAGCTGGAATCCCAGAATAAAAGTGAGAATGAAGGCGGCACAGAAGTAAGTGAGCACCGTGCTCTCCGATCTCTCCAGGAAAAAGAGTCCCAAGGACATGGCCAGCAGGGCCAGGGCACATGTGCAGCAGGAGATCATCATTAAAGGGCGACGTGGAAACCTGCGAATCACTAGCGGTCCCAGGAGCGAGGTACCCAGATTGAAGCCTCCGATTCCCAGGTTCAGCCAAGTGGCAGCTCCTGCCGAGAATCCCGCACCTGTCAGAATGGACAGCGAGTAGAAAAATATCTGAAGGAGAAATCGAAAATGATAACCAACTTGAATAAAGATCTTTAGGCACTGACTCACAGCATTAATGCCACTCAGTTGCTGCGTGGCCTGGAAGGAGCAGACCAGCAGGAGTGGCAGCCACAGTTCCCTGTCGCCCAGCACCGAGCACAGGGAGCTGGCCTCGGTGCTGACCTTGGCCTCCAGAGTGTCCCTCATCTCGAGCAGCTCCTGCTGCACTTCCTCCTCGGCGTTCTTTCCACGCACACGAAGCAAAGCCCGTTCACTGGCTGCAGAATCCCGTTTGTGCAGGAAGAGCCACCGCGGACTCTCGGGAAACCACCAGAGGAGCAGCAGGAAGGCCATCACCAACAGGCTGTAGGCACTGAGGGCATAGGGCCACAGTCGCTGGTTGCCCAGCAGGTGGGTCAGAGTGAACACCTGGGCGAGCAGGATGCCACCCGTGACACCGATGCACGTGAACACTCCCACGCTGCCACTGAGCTCCGAAGGAGCCAGCTCCAGCAGGTACATGGGTTGGGCGGTGAAGATCAGTGCGGAGGCAATCCCGCCCAGAAAGCGACCCGTCATCAGCATCTCCAGAGATTTGGCTGCACGGCACCAGGTGAAGAGGATGCCAGAGATCACGAGCAGCACGCCGCTGATCAGCAGACAACCCTTACTGGAAACAGGTAGAAGCATTAGCCAAATACATTCAAATCGGAAAACAATATCATATATGTATGTAGCTGCCAAAGGAGCGAGCGAATAATAGAGCTAAAAATCAACATAGCTTCAATGTTTTTTAACATAAACGCGTCTAAATCGGAATTTGGCCATTACCTTCTTAAGATAAATGATATCTTGTTTTACAACAGCAACCGTTAGTTCTTCAGAAGATAATAGCAATTGTTTTCACTCAAACAACGGAATCACCAAATTAGCTTTATCATTTATATAAGTTTCGTAGCGTGAGTAAACCGTTTAATTTTTTTTTTTTTAATAATAATCTAAACTAACGATTATTTGAAATTTGTTTAAAAAAAATCGATGAAATACATAATAATAAAAATATTTAATAATCGTTACGGTGTATGTAAAAGTGTAAGTAAATTTCATTTGATCAATGATCATTTAAGTCAACAAAGATTATCTATTTATTTATCAGCAATAATTTTTGTTTTATATAATATTTTAAGACTTTCGAGCAAAACATCTCACCGGCCATATTTGTCGCTAAGCAGCGCGCTGATGCAGGATCCGCAGATGCCCCCAATCAGGTAGATGGACACAATGCTCGTCCAGAGGACGTCCAGTTGGCCGGCAGTGACGATGGTGTCGTATTCGCTCGCCAGGATGTCCTGGCACCACTTCTTGATGATCTCTGCCGGGGCATTGAGCACACCGAAGAAGTAGCCAACCGGAACCGTGGTGCCCAGCGTTACGGTGAGGCAGATGAGCAGCAGGAGCGGGGTCCAGCCTTTGACCCTTGGCGGGGTCACATGCTGCAAAGAGAGCACACGAGAGATTCACACGATTAACACTTTGAATCTGGGGCAAACGAAAGACTAAAGCAACAAACTCGTCCCGGAGGAGGGAAGAAAGTGATCGGTCATGGGTAATCACCATTACAACAACCATGGCGATGGAGCGATGCTTGCACGCCGAAAGCTTAACCGAAAGTGACTCGCATCCGGCGGCTCACTCGGTGCCATTCGACAGCTGGCTGAGTCATCCCCGTCCCCTTGTATATCAATCAGATAGACACATCTTCACTAGGAATACGGTTGCAGCTCATAACCGAGCGTAGATAAATTCAACCTTTTTGTCTTACGAGTACTTGTTTTCTTATCATTGACACGGGAGCGTTTGTTTGTTCTAACAACTACTAGCCGTGAAAGTAAGTCAATAGTTATATACTCTTTCGCATTCGATCAGGTAGTTTTGGTCTTGAAAAACAGGTTTTATTAACCGACACTTAGGCATAAACAACAGGCAATTGTGGCAATATTTTAAACTATTTTCAAAGCATTTAACATTTGTTTGGCAAAAGTTTGGCACTTAACCATCTAACCCAATGCCGTGGAAGGGCATTCTGCTTAACAATAAATCTAATTAACCGAGTATTACTTGACGCTCCGTCCCAAGGCATTTTAATTGAACTTGTGCAGTAGTGATAAGGGAACGGAGCGCTGAAAGCTTTCATACAGGGTGTCTCCTAAAGTTAGATCCGTTCTCGCATTTGTTGGTTTGTACAAAAGAGCTTACAGACTAGACGGGGTATTGCAATTGGTTGCAGCAATTCGACCCTGAACAATGTGGATCCCGGTTTATTGTCGGCTATTACACAAAGGCACACGACCTGGAGGAATCATTGAGTGGTCCCACTCTGCCATCGGAGCCCAAACGAGTTACCACATATCACCGGCTACTTAAGGCTAATTGTAAGATGAGCCCACGGGGCTTGGTCTCAGTTGACCTTGGAGCGGAAACCCTTCGATACGAGTGGCGCCACCTCGGAAGGATCTCGGCCCCGCGTTTCCGGCAGATAGAATTTCGTCAGCAGGAAGAGCAGCACACAGGTAATGGAGAAGGGCAGGAAGACGAAGGCACCCCACGCGTTCTGAAGCAGCGGGAACGAGATGCCAATGATGAAATTGCACGACCACGAGGCCAGGCTGCCCATCGACATGGCCACGGAGCGGGGAGCCACCTCGAATAGTTCTGCAAATTGGAGAGCACAATTCAAATCAGTTAGGGGTCTAAAAATAAACAACCAGTCATCCAATTATAAAGTCGATGTGTCTGGGAAGGTCTTCAAAAAAGTCGTAAACAAATGTGTCCAGAGCCAATGAACCTCGTTCGATTCCAATTCCGCCTCAATTGCAGACCCATTTCTCCGAAACACGAGCAGCTGTCTCAGCCACGACTATTGGAGCTTTAGGAAATCGTACAAACAATAAAGTCACGCGACTAAATACCTGAGCCAATGAAGTAGGGAATGGGACCCAATCCAAATTGGAAAAAGAAGATGTAGCCCATGATGCAGACGATGCAGGCGATGGCAAACCAGCTGACTTGGTCCTGTAAAGTAAAGTAACATCAAGTTAAAATTAGGTCGACAAAACAAAAGAAATCAACAACATTCTTTACTGAACTTATAAATATTTTAAGAAAGAACCAAGGGTTTTGGGCAAACCAGAAAAAAACTCACAATATAGAACAAAACAAAGGTAAGGGTGAACAGGAAGACGGAGCACAGGGCGCAGGAGAACATCATGAGGGTTCGCCTATTGCGGTAGGCCATCAGCCAGGGTCCGAAAAGTGATATGGTCAAATTCAGGCAGCCGGCACCCAAATTGGCCC